AGGCTCTATTTGGTATGCCGTCTATACCAGGCGCCTTGCTGATTTTAATTTTTCCCGCTATGGCCAATAATTCTTCTTCACTAACTAGTAGCGGTGGCTCTACAACTTCGGTTCGTGGTTTACCATAGGTAATCGGATGATGTTTAGGGAATAATGTTTCCACGATATTCTTCATAAAAGATGCGCTTTTGGGTTGTTGTGTCTTATTCTTGAATTTTGACATGCATATTTTGTACGCCGTACCCCAGGGGTCGACGTTTGCTTCCTCACAGATCTTTTCAAAACTGTTCCTTTTGCTGCGGGCAATGGCCGACTTTAGAAGCTTCTTTTGTCTTTTAAAAATTTCCCTGAGAGCGTTTGAATTTCCCCCGCCTTGGTTACGCTGTAGACGGCGTCTAGCTGCATTACAGAGCTTTCTGAGCGTTGCTATTTCTTCATTCCACCAATAGACGGGCTTTCGTTTGTTGTGGTGTACTGTTCTGCGCATAGTTGCGTCGCATGCTGTGACCAGTTCTTTCCGCACTGCGGACACCAAGTCGGTGGCGTCCCCGCCTGGTGTTTTTGCAGAGCTCCAGACTATCTCAAAAAGGTCGGCATCAAACTCCTTTTGTTTCCAGCTTCGTTTTTGGCAGCTGCCCTTGCTGCGGGGTTCCGTCTCTCCGGAAAACGAAACATCAGCAATAATAGCCATGTGGTCACTATTTGTGAATATATCCGACACCGTCCACTTAATATGCCTGCTTAGAGCATCGTTTGCAAACATGAGATCGATTATGGAGCCTTTGTTTCCTTTTTGAAAGGTGTTTTGCGTTCCGCTGTTCATTATAGTAAGGTTCGTTTGACTTAGGAATTCCAGTAGCAAACGACCACGATGGTTTGTGTGCCTGCTACCCCAAGCAGTTGACCACGCATTGAAGTCGCCTGCGATTATGACTGGCGATTTGCCTCTGGTTTCTAGAGCAAGCTCCAGGAGGAAGTCTTCGAAGTCTTTGATTGAGATGCTGGGAGGAGCATAGCAGCTAACAAAGTATATGCCACGTATATTTGCCCATGTGTAACAGTTATGATCTTTGGAACAAGATATAAAAGGTTGACCTTTACAAGACCATATTGCAGCCTTGCCGGATATGTCTGTGGCCCATGTGCTTTCCGAACGCTGGGAGTATTGCTCGCTAAGTAAGGCGACATCAATGTTATTTTCAAATACTGTCTGTTCGAGCAGATCTTGTGCTGCAGCGCAATGGTTTAGATTCAGCTGTAATATCCTCATTTCCCTAACGCCTTTAACATTTCCAGGTACTTGGGGCAAGTCGTACTCAAAACTGTGTGTGCTCCTTTGCAAAACATGCAACTAGGATCATTGGTGCATGACTTCGCTACATGTCCACCGGCTCCACAACGTGTGCATAGAGACGATCTGTCTATTGGGTTGCAGCATTTGCGTGCCATGTGCCCTAGGTGAAAGCACCTATAGCAACGGGGAATAGGGGAGTATTCCCGGAGGCGGCAGACGGACCACCCTACTTTAATTTTGCCTACTTTAAGCGCAGTCTTGGCATCCTGCGCGCGCAGGCATATGATAGCTATTTGGGTTCCGCTTCGGGTCTTTCGCATACTTTTAATATTAATTTTCCCCAAATTTTGTATTCCGCACTCCTTTTGTAGTGCCTCGCATATCTCTTCGGGTGTAGTTACCTCATCCAAATCCTTGCACATAATCGATACGTTGTGAGTTTTGGGCTGTATCACGGCCATTTCCCCGACCACTCCCTCTAAAGCGCTTTGGAATGAGTCTGCTCTCTTTTCTGCTTTACTCTTTAATTCTAAAAGCAAGTCTCCTTTCAAGGTTTTCCTAATGTATGTGACACTTGAACCCAATTCTTCTAATCCGCTGTCACTTTTTATTTTGCGGAGAATTTCAGCGTATGATACACCATCCTTTTTGGTAAGTATGATGGCGTCTGGCCTCGATCTGATTTTCTTTTCGATCGGTCTTCTCTTCTTAACGACGTCCACCCATGTTTCGCCTCCGCCAGGTATAATCGTGGTTTCTCTGGGAATTAATTCCGCAGCCTCGTTGCTGGTGGGTTGCGCCGCTTTTTTTGTATTTTTCGGCTTTTTTGTGGGTGGTAAAAAGCCTAAAGCCTCACGCATTCTTTTCTGGGTATTTACATCTTTACCCATAGGGGATACCTGAGATGCTTTCCCTACCATAATTCTTTTGGGTGGGTTCCCACCTTTCTCAGCCTTCGCATGTAGTGTTACTATGCTGCTAACTAGGTCGCGCATTGCCTGGTTTATATGCCTTTGGCCCGCCATCATGCTCTCCAGTTCTTTTATTTTACTACCCAACTGGTTAAAAATTCGGGTAGCTCCACTACTTGGTAGTTCCTCAGAGAGTGTATGCACCTATGTACATATGCATATGTATGTATATGTAGGTAGACATAAATGGAGCACATGCACACAATTGATTACGTGCGAACTTGAATTTTGTAGGTTGCCAGTGGATTCACAGCAACAACCGCAGCGCTAACGGTTTTGCGACAGCCATTTAAACGCTCAAACTATGCTCAATCAATTTGCCTACCATTGTGCGGGATTATTGTTATTGTTACACACACACACACACATACACACATGAACCGACGACTGATGAGCTGCTATTGTGTCCTTTGTGATGGCATTGTTCTAACAGGAGGCAAAGAGCAGCTCGTATATGACATTCGCCTTCTATTATGCACGTTCACTACACTTAATTGTTAAATCGTCTCGGATTTAAAGATAAAATTACTTGCAATTTTTGCATGTTCTCCTTACACACGCTATTATTTACACCTGTCATACATCTAGTATACTTGTTGCTATGTATAAGCATTCGTCTTTTAATATGCATGATATAAGTTTTTATCTTTACTTCCATATCACTAAGTTAATCATACCTGCTTATCACTAACTGGAAGTAGACATATAAAAAAGATGAAGTCTCTAATCTATTTTCTGCATATACCTATATATGTATCTTCAATAAACTTATATAAATTAGCACAAATGCAACATGAACTCAGTCAGAGTCTGACTACTCCATCAAACTGATTCCATCAGCGTATAACTGTTATTCCAAAAATTTCTTCGCATACGCAGTTGCGTTTAATTGCGCGGATTGTAAGCATCACGTGTCCAATTTTGATCATTTCACAAGTAAATATCAGCAGAAAAAATGTTTGCAACACCACTGCAAAGCCACGTCACAACACCTGAAGTACAACCAGCACCGATGGCGAACACGCCACACCAGTATTCGATCTCCGATTACGGCTACGGCAAGGATAGTGTTAAAGTCTTGCATGTTAAGAGGAATGGGCCAGTGCACTCGATAAAAGAATTCGAAGTGGGTACACATTTGAAGCTATACAGTCAAAAGGATTACTATCACGGTAAGAATGGACACACACTCAAGTATGTTCCACATAAGAAAGTAGCTCGGAAGGTGCTGCTTAGCATACCAACTAGAGCTCTAGTATTATCTTATTAATGTGCTGCTAAACTTTATATAAACAAATTATGTAATTTGTATACTATTCATCTTATCCAGGTGATAACTCAGATGTTGTGGCCACCGATTCGCAGAAAAACACCGTTTACTTGCTAGCTAAGAAATATGGTATTGAGAATGCAGAAAAGTTTGCACTGCTGCTCGCCAATCATTTTCTCAATAAGTACTCACATGTTGCCGAGGCACACGTACATGTCGAGGAGTATCCTTGGGAACGCATCGCACAGGAGGACAGCGGCATCTGTGATGACAATTACACATCGATCAACAATCGTCAGCGTCATAATCACGCCTTCATTTTTACACCAATAGCGCAGCGCTACTGTGATGTCGTGCTGAGGCGAACGGGTAAGTGCAAATACGTATATAATTTGCTATTCCTTATTGTTGTAGCATAATTTTTGCATTAACGCTTCTTATTTCTTTAACATTGTATTTTACTCTCTCTCTCTCTACCGCTCGCGATCTTCTACTTGTAGATCCCAAACAGACTGTCATTAGCGGCATTAAAGGCCTACGCGTGCTCAAGACAACACAGTCGTCGTTTGTCAATTTTGTCAATGACGAGTTTCGCACGTTACCTGATCAATATGATCGACTTTTCAGCACCGTCGTTGATTGCAGTTGGGAATATTCCAATATCGATGATGTGAAATTCTGTCAAACTTGGAATATGGTGAAGAATATCATTATTAGAAATTTCGCTGGCGATCCAAATGTCGGTGTATCTTCGGTGTCGGTACAAAATACGTTATATCTCTCTGAGAAGGAGGTACTCGATGTTATACCACAAGTATCGGTCATATCAATGACTTTGCCCAACAAGCACTACTTTAATTTCGATACGAAACCATTCCAAAGTCTTGTACCAGGTGACAATAATGAAGTATTCATTCCAACCGATAAGCCTCATGGCACCATCTATGCACAGTTGGCAAGAAAAGATCTAAAAAGTCATTTGTGAAAGTCGTTAAAAAGTTGTATAACTTATTTAGTTCTTAGCTATAGCATTATTATTATTAACTTACAATTGTTTCAAAATAAATATATGTACTCGTACATAGCTTTGGCTATGGTTTTGTTTTGTAAGAAGCTAATCCCATCGCAGCCCTACTTCTTCAAACGATTTATTCAAGTATTTTAATAACACCCGCATCACCCTGCCAACCCTTCTTCTTATATACATAGATCTGATAGATAGAACACACACTAATTTACATATGAAGATCAAACTTCGATCGAATATAAAAAAGAGGTTGTACCAATCTATGATTTTTTTTAACAATTCGGCTTGCACCCTTAGCTTATTTGGGCCAGTCCGAGTCAAATTAAGTGTACGAAACTATGATGTGAACTAATTTCGCGCATGCTTTGAGAGTCCCCAGAGTTCACATTCACTTTTTTAACACCTTAGTAGAAAACTAATAAAAAAAAAATTTATGGCTGAATTGTTTTTAGCGAAAAAGTTTATGTATATTTCGGGCTTCATAGGTACAAAAATATTTTTTTATTTTTTCATGAGTCTTATTTCATTTTCAAACATTCAAAAATATTAACTTAACACATACATACATACATACATATTTACAAAAACAGTTTAATGACTTATATAATTTCGCATTTTAAATAAATAAGTGAATTAATAATTTATAATGATTACTGTGTAAATGCCCGCACTGCATTGCATCTACCGCTTTCATCGCCACCGCACAACAATAACAACAAATCATTACCGCTTGACGATGACAGCGCGCCACTCAGTGGCACAGCAAGTTGTATGTTACGGAAATAGCCGAAAGTGCTGTCCACCCAACCCTGTATGTAGGCATATCTGTGCAAATAGTAGAAATCCTGTTGCTGCTCGCCCAAAGTCAAAAGGAACAATTCACCATTGTCCATGGTGAATGTATACAACTTATCAATGCGTATTGGCAATTTAATGATTTGCAGAAGTTTATACGTGCTCACACTTTCGCGTGTCAATTCGTATACGTTGACGTTATGGCACTTATGGCAACTTAAAAGCAATTGATAGCGTTGTGGTTGCACCGCAACCAACTCCATCACATCATATGGACCATCAATGATTTGTGCAAGCATGAAGTGCTCCGTTTCGTGGTTGAAATGATAAATACTTACTGCATGTTGATTATTCACCAATGCATTGCTAAGTAAGGCGGTGAAATTATTAAACTTAAAGAGACGCATGGACTTGCCCATACCAAACGGTATCGTTTGCCAATCTGCGATATCGTCGCGTTCATCGTTGATGCGCAAAACGCGCACCTCATTACGATTGCGTGTCTTATCGACCGCGTGCAGCAACAGGAAGGTGTTTTGCTTGTCGCTCACAAATAATTCTACGCTCTCAATAAACTTTTTCATGCCAAAAACTTTCGCAACTTTACGACCATTCACCGTTACTTTGCTCTTCACTTTCTTATAGCGATCGCCACAATAGTTTTGTGCCTTCACCCATATGGTGTCAGTGTGCGCGGTCAAGTAGCTGGTGGTCACATTAGTGATGAACAGACGACGGCCCTGTGCAGCGAACTGCACCTGCAGCAGTCGATGCTCGCACATAGATATGTGCTGCAGATCAGTGAAGAAGGTCTCGTCCACGCTTTCGTTGGCATATTGTTTCAGCACCTCTGTGCTGAAATCGAAATCCAGATAAAGCAAATGCTTTTGACTGGTGTTGTTGTGATGGGTCAAACTTGCATTCTGTGTGCTAAAAAGCTTAGACAACTCGTTAACGACATCCGTTAATTCTTCGCGGTAGGCGACATTATCTTCCAGCTCAATAAAGTCTTCTGGATCGGTCTTCACTTGTAATGTGTCTTCAAGTTTTTCACTTGTCTCACCTGCTTGCATTGTTCTAAATTTAGATTTCATCGGCATGTTGCCAACAAGCACCAAACCCTTAACAAATGTAGCTTCATCAATGGTGAGATTATCAAAATGATAGTTACCCATTGTGAAAATGCTCTGTTTATACATATCTATCAAACGTTCACCATTCAAATTTAAAACATGCGCAGGTCCATTGAATATAAGATTGCCATCGACCACCTTTTGACCATCAATCACTTGTACATGACCACTTTTCTTGAACACCATATTCTCGATCAGTATGCCGTTTATTGATTGTAACAGTGTTTCATTATTTAAAATCAGGTTTTCAAATATCAAAAAGCCTTGTACATCCTGTGGTTCGCCGTGCAGCTTTATGCGGTTCGTCAACAAATAATCAAGACTCATATCGTTTACATCAGCAATTTCTAGTTCCTTATCCACCACCAAGCTATACATATTTACCGGTGGCATCAAACCATTCGAGGTGGTATATATTTGCGCGGTAGGCATGCCATTCACCAAACCCTGCACTAGCAGCTGTCCGACGATGGGTGGTATTTTGAAATACAATGGGCCTTCGATCAGCATATCACTAGAAATTCGATAGAGAGACGCATGAAAACGTTGCACATCAATCGTATTCAATGTAGTAACACTCAGTGGACCTTTGACTAAAGCACGCTGCATTCGCAACGGCTTATGAAACAACTTGCCGCTGGTTATGGTCTGCGGTGCCGTAGTATTTTTCAACAGGCAATCACGTGCTATGTAGTTTAGATCCACGCCTTTAGGAAATGTCGTGCGCGTTCGCATTCTACTTATTATCGGCTGTGTCATATAGACGGTGCCCGAAATTACTTGATCGCCGCTGCGTCGCACCGCTTGTCTGTAAAGATATTGTAACTCCTCGTATTGCTTTGTGCTGCTAGCAGCAGACTCATTCCAATCTGCATTACCGTGCACGACTAGATTACGCCAACGTCTCTGGGGTAGCTGCTGCAGTTGCTCATTGAGAGAAGTGTAACGAAACGAGTTCTCGAATTTGCCATTTACATCGCCTTGTACTGTGAGCTTTGGTAAAATAAGATCACCTGCCAAAGTAACCTCTTCTGTACGCGTATCGATAAATGTCTTTGTGGATACATCATTTATAGTGCTTACGTCTAGATTTGTTAAGCGTAAATTGCCAAAAGTATAATTGCCAGTTATTTGTTGAGGTTTGGACTTTAAAAGCACATTGCTAAAGACATCACGCAAATCAATATTATTAACTAAAGGCGTTTTTAGCGTCTTTTTCACAGTTAGCCCTTGCATGAATATTGCGGTGCCATTTATTACCGCATTCTCATTAATGCGCACTAAATCCGAAACGTAATCCGACCATGTTATGTCATTTATGGTATCCACTTGCAAGTTTTCGAGGAATTGCACATTGCCCTTGACTAACAAATCTTTATGCAGCACAAGCTTCTCATTCTCCACGGACAACTTGTCGAAGATCTTATCGAAGGAGATACCATTGATCTTATGTAGAACGATGTTAGTTGCTTGTAATTGATATGGCAGATCCAGATACTTGAAATAGTGATCACGTTTTAATGGTGCGTTTACATTTATGCCATTCAAATAGGTGTAATTTAAATTCTGTTCCACAAATGTATGCTTGGTAACCACCAATCTGTCGAAAGATTTGTTACCAAAGAAATGGTATTCATTCTTCAGTTGCGACTTCAAAACCAAGTCACTTGTGGACAAATTTTTTAGCATCTGCGCCGTTATGTGTTCCACGGTAAGTGGTGCCTCGAATATTTTGAAACCGGTTAAATTTGCTGAGTCACCCCGGCGCACGACATCTTCGGATAATTCCAGTAATTTTGACTTGTATGCCTTACAGATAACGTCACCATCTACTTTGGCTTGTACAAATAGGAGTAAAAGCGGCACTTCTATCATTTGGTGACCACTGGCAAGTAAATGTTGTGTGGTGGGGTGGTCATTTAAAAATTTGCTTGTAAATTTAGGTGTGGTTACTTTAGCATTACCAAAATATACAGTTGTGCGTATATCCTGTGTGGAAATAAAGAAAAACAAATGTGGAGATATAGTTAAAATTTAGCTGACTCTGTACGGAAAATCAACTATGTGTATATATACCCAATATAAGGCTAAAATTTCGCTACCTGTGGTGTATTTTGTAACAAGTAAGTCTTTCTCAGTGTCGATTCTGCAAAAGCTTGACCACTCACAAAAACTTCCATTGACATGGTGTTATCAAGTTCTAAATTATCCACCGTTAAAGTACCATTAATGATTACTTTGCCAGTGTAGAACTGTCGAAACTGTAAGTCTATATTATCGTTGTTACGCTCCAGTTTCGGTTGGTAACCAACTAACAGATCACCGGCTATGCTCATTTGTTTAATTTCGACTGGACCTAAAGGGAAATTATGATACGTATTAAAAATTCTATATTACCAATACATAAGTATTCTTTATAATAATACTGCTTCAGAATAAACAACTTTTGCATATACACAATATAAACACATATTAAAATAGCGTTCGTAATATTTATAGGGTTTGTAAAATTTTATAGTTATGCATTGAAATCTAATAACATGAATGAGGCTTACCTTCAATTAAGTCATCTCGGCCACTAAACGCTATATCTTCGGTAAAATTTAAGCCATTCACCAAATCCGCCTGCATTTCCTTCACATTTATTGAATCTATCATTATTTTCGAGCTTACTACCTGTGGCTCCTTCAAGTTGAAAAGTTGGGCAACTACTAAATCATTTAGTATTGGCGTCCATAGTGAGTCCACTTTTGTTTCACCTTGCAGTTTGAGACCACCTTTCAGTTTACGATCGCGATTACGTAAAAACAACGAGTTGAAAAATTCATTTACTGACACATTATTGATGCGCTCCACGATTACATCGCCCAACTTAAGTGGCGCATTGTAAGATCTTTCAGAATTGTCACGTGAATTGCGAAACGATTGGCGTGTTAGTAACTGCGATGTGCTCAGCACTTTAGTGCGTATTGCGGAGCGTATGGAGAGTATGGGTTGTCGAGTACTTGACGTATTATCCAAGTGGAAACCTGTTTGACCAGCATAGTATTAATATATACATATACATACATAGTAATATAATGCATGAGACTTAAAATAAATTCTTGTTGCATTGCTATAACCTACCGGGTAGAAGTGAACCGTTGTACAAAAGATTACCGACATGCAGGCGACGAATACGTGCGACAGGTGGGATATCTAATACAAAACCAGGCTTTTGGTATGCTGCGCGCATAAAACGCGCACTACGTTGAGGCGCACGCAATTCCTCCACGCGCCTTAATAATTGCACTGGGCTCTGTAGCGACTCACCCACTATTTTAACAATCCCTACATTGCCCGCTTTTAGTCGAACCGGTTGAGGCGCTTTCAATGACTTTATTTTAGGACGTAGAATCAGAGCAGCTTTGCGAAAGGTGTCCATAGCGGACTTACGTTGCAACAACAAACTGCGAAGACGTTGCACGGTACCTTCGAACAGGTGCCGGTGTTGTTGTAGTGCATTTAAATCTGAAATTGGTGTTTAGGTGAAATGAAAACGAATAGACAAACTAGATAAACTGACCTTCAAGCATAGTTTCATTCATTGCCAACGGCGCACCCAAACTCTGGCCATCCGCTGCTCCAACTTCGAAAATGCGCAGCAAGATATTAAACGGTCGCCGATAGCTAAGTAATACAAACGATTCATTCTGCAAACTCACATGGGTTATTATATCACTGACATCGCTTTCTTTTGCCGTGTAGCTCGCGTAGCAGTCCATACGCGCAGTCGGATAAACATTAACGGCACCCTGGTTTGTACCAACCAAAAAATGCTTTCCCGCAACGAAGCGTTCGAAGGTCAATTCTTTACCGTTAAATTGTCGATATGGTGAGAATTGTACCTCATCACGTTTCATCCAAAAACTATTGCATTTCTGCTGTTGTGCCACACACCCAATCAGGTAATTTCGTCCATGAAATGTGTAAGCATGTATGGTGCTCGAGGGTATCGTGAGTGTCTGACGATTGCGTAAATGCAAATCAGTTGTGCCAACTTCATAAATAACGACTATAGTCTAAGGAAGCAAGCAGGCAATTAATTATATATAGTCAAAGTGTAATTTATAGTAAATACCCGGCCCTGATGTTTTATAAGGCGTCCACTAAGCAAAAATTTTGGTGTCGTGCCAATAATTTCCAACACGTGTATAGCCGGTACTGTAAGATCTTCCACCAACTCAAAGAACGTATTTGACCACTCATATGTACTAGAGACAAAACAATCATAATTTTATGACTTCGAATGTTTGGATTTACGAACATTAATGAAATATGTTACTATTCTCTAGATGTTGCTTTATGCTTTCTAAAGGTCATATTTTTTTGTTTTGTTAAACGAATATAAGCAAGGCTTCGGCACCATACGCCGCATTTTGCGTTTGCGTTTTTGTTGTATATGCGTATGCGTATGCGTTTTTATGTTTTGCTTATTCAAAGTATACATTTGCCACAATTGAGGGATATGACCAACCTTTTCAACTGGGAGGATCTGAACCGCCATGTTTTCATGATGGTTTTCAAGACAATTGCTAATCTCAGAGTTTAAGAAATTGCACGTGCTTTTTAATACATAATATAGGAAAGTATTTTTTCAGAAATAGATGTAAACTTAAACCGAATATTTAGGTGTGCCAAAATTACTCAAAAAGAACAAATAGGCAGTAGGTCCGATACTTACCGTAACTTTGATTGTAGTTTTGTATAATTCACGGCCGTTATAAGCATAATTTGTTCCTCGCCGGCACTGATGAGAAAAAGTTTATGAAATCTACCATTTATGGTTAGCTGTTGTATTGGTTCGAAATTCGTTATAGAGTCTCTATTGACTTGAAATAATTTTGCCGCCTCAGCATTTTGCGCCAATACAACGGCATTCAACTGATATATCTCCACAAATTCTTCCAAAGCGACAACAAGCAGCAAATAATTGCGCCAAGCAATCACCTTTAAACGGTATATAGTGTTATATAATTAATTGTGAAGAATGCATAAATAGTTTTTACTCTCACCTCCACTCCAATGGGCTCATGTTGCCGTACACCACCAGCCAACATGCCAACCAAAGATAAACGCTTTTCCACTCCGCTCACGATCAGTACATATAATTCATTGCCATGCAAGACGAAAATTTGATCTTTCGAAATTTCCTGCATAATATGCAAATTGCGCTCATTTTGTATATTAATATCCATGAAAGGTAACCGAAATTGCAATGCATTTTTCGGAACACTTGTGGAGGATTTGGGGGCGCATTTCGATGGTATCGGTGGTGTTCCGGGTGCAAAGGGCACCACATGAGCGGCATCAGGTCCTACTTGGCTTAAGCACTTCAAATGAAGGAGAATATTTTATTTGGAGTGCTTGTAATACTCTGTCACACATTTACTTACCACTTGTAATGAGATAATTAATTGGAAATAAAAGTAAATATGCATTTCCATTAGTCGTTTTTTATCAGTGCAACATATGTCTGCAATCTACAATTATATTTTTATGATTTTTATTTTCATAGTATGTCATTAAGTGTAAGACGTGTGTAATTTTCCAAGAGCTAACGGACTGTACAACAAATACTAGCGATCCATAAGAGAAACAAATGAAAGGCGTGTATATAAATGGAATGTGATAAGTTATAACGTCACAAAAAAGCAACTGACAATTGCAGCGGTATTATGTATATATGTACTTAGCCTACCCGAATAGGTATGCATTTTTCAAATATGTTATACAGTATTCTCCGCTTAAAACTGAACACCTAGTAATTAATTATTTGACTTGTTTTAATCAGCCGAAAAATCTTATCGTATAAAATAAAATTCAGTTGGCTGGCATATTGATTTCATAAATATATCCTTTAAACATCTTTTTTAAATATATACATATGTACATATTTTTTTTAATTGATACAATTTCTCTCCTCAATCTACTTACGCACTCAAGCCGTTAATAGTATAATATAATATTAAAAAAATTGTTTGTAGTTTTAGCAAGAGAATATTTCCAAGAATTCATTATTTAATGAAATTATACAAGTCAAGTACTGGTTTGCTAAATTTCGTCTTAACCGTACCAGCATAAATTATACATCACGTTCAGGAAGGCCACGGCAGATAGTAACGCCAGAAAACATCGCAAAAATGTTGAAATTGCCCGTAATGGAAATCAACAAACGTTCTTTTAGTGTTAGGCTAAAGACTTTTCAAACCATACACTATATAAGGCGTTTTCTGTCCTACCGACAAATCTTAAAAATTTTAATAATGCCCGATTAACCTTCAACAAGCGGTTGCTATGCAGCGCTTGGCGTATTTCCAAACATTAAACTTATTTATAGTATTTTTTGTAACGATCCTCTCTCTCCAGGTATGTGTGTATATATGTGCCTGTATAACTGCTATAAATGAAATTATGGTAAGTTAACAAATGGTTAGCCATCCTCTATAACATATAATTCAATTCAAATTATACATAAATTTTATACATATATAAGTACTTTATATAAATTCCATTAAATTCATCGATGTTAATTAAGTTTTTGAATTTTTTTTCATTTTTCCAAACGGTCTAATTGCGCATATCCCAAACCTAATGGCGTGTCCGCTGGATTAGCAATGATGACATTAGCTTTCGGCTCGATCGGCGGAAAACGTGAGAAATCGAAGGGAAAATGTTTATAATTTGGAAGGCTTATCGAAATGCTACAAATCTCGGGCATTGCATCAAGCACAGCACGTTCTGCAACATACGCCGCATACTGGACACTAGTGATAATTACACCTTTCTCTGGATCACCAGCAAACGAATGCAATATCAAGTCACGTACTTTCAACCAATGTGTCTTGAAATCAATATCAACTACTTTGGAGTACTGCCAACGCGCATTTATATCCGTACACAAAATACGATCATCCATATCGCCTTCGGAGAACATATCGCCCTTCACATAGCCGGTAAACGGTGCACGAGCGGTCTTTACAATGCGCAAACCATAAAAAGTGCCTATCAAAAGTGGTGAGCCCTCTAGAAAAAAAAACGCAATAATTTAAGTTAATGTATATATACATATTTTTTTGGTGTTTCATACGTCTGGTTCGCACAACTTCACAGCCATGCGTGCCATTCGAATTTCTCATGAAGGCGTGATTATGTTGTTTGCCCTTATAGTAGCCCTGGCGCTCTTGTTCACCAAAACGATCCCACGCCAATTCTTCTACGATCAAATTCGACTCTTCGACTTGCTCATATGTCTCTAAGAAATGTTGCGTAAGCGTGAGCGCAAATTCTTCAGGTGTATGCAGACCATGTCTTTGAGCATGCACATAAATGGTATTCTCTTGCACATCACTGCCGATGATATCCGTATTGTCCGCTAATGTCAAAATATAATCGATTGAATTATATAATATAATTAATAATGAAATAACGAGTACCTGCATAATATTCTTTGTGTGTGCACAAACGCATATGTGAGTTTATTTTGAATTCGGTGACGCTGTGTATGGGTCCATCCTTCTTCAGTTGAAACACACGAACTCCCTGTTTACCGTAACCATAATCGCCCATTCGGTAACTAGGCGCCCCAGGATCTGAGATTTTCGCAACTTTGCTGGGATCAGCATCACGCAATTGGCGAGTGAACATCTTGACGATACAAGAGGAAAACTTGTCGCACCTATCACTGATATTAGTCGTGTAAGACCTTTCACGAAAATGTAGGCGGCACTACTTATAGCACACAATATATGAATACGTAAATTATGTTAATATCTTATCTCCTTGAAGCAATATATACATACTTACATAAAAAGAAAAAACTGAGTAATTTTTTTGAGGTCGTGGCGATGATTATCCAGTCGTATTAGTCTGACGATGATATCTACTTTTATTTGAGATAGAGGTACTATGTATATATCTATATATACAAGTATATCTATACAATGTGCATACATATGGAATGCAATTATCGTTATTATATTATATGTCTAGTAGCTTACAACGTTGTGTCCATTTTATCATTATTCAAACCCATATAGACATTTTTATAAGATCGAATCAATTAAGCTGTAGATTAAATAGGTACAGTTGCTAAATGTTTTTGGTCGATCTACTGCATCAATCTGTATTGTGAACTCGACAAACAATTTGTCGATTACTTTTAAGCCAACCTCGAACTGCTGATAGATTTTATAAAAATGCTGAGTAGACCCAAAATCAATGCCAATAATTTTTATGGAATCAGAGAACTTACATAATTACGCTAACTGACAATTTAAAGAACATCAAGCAGGGTACAAGTTAACAAATATGGTCCAATCGTAACTATGTGGTAAGTAGTAGTACTGAAATATCAATTCTTTACATTGGAAACGAAACACGTCTATTATTGAAATTTGCTCTGAGCTTTAATACATCCTCAAAAGTTCTTCAATCAGAAAACGCATATCTCCTACTAATACAAATTTTTCTTACGTACCCTTGACTCTTTCGAACAAAATGCAATAATTTCAAAGGAAGCCTTTTCTTCTTAAAAATGCGCTCGCAGACTCTATGCTAGGCATAAACTATAGAGTAACTAAATGAGTAAAGGAGACCCACGAGAAATTAAACACATCGTTTTCATTCCCCAGTAAAGAAGATTGACTACAATTCAGTCTTTCAGTCCGAATTTGTGGGTTGTGGGGGTCCTCACAGGGCACTTACCTTAAGATCCCTCCTTCAGAAGATGGGAAAAGTGGATTCGGCGGAATGCAGAGCATGCGCGGAAGGTGTGACGCTGGAACGTTATCTATGCGAGTGCCCAGCCTTCAGTCGAATGAAAAGGGACATATTCCACGACTGCCAATAATCCAACTTAAGCAACATTGGGCAGCTGAGAAAAAGAATCAGGTCTTAAACGAAATCCACTGAGTTGCTGGATAAGGCTTAAATTGCTTACCATATGGAGCACAATGGTCCTAATGATGGCCTAAGTGCAGCCGACTGCGATCCGGCGCTCTTGCGCCTCGTTTTTCAACCAGCCAACCAAATTTTTTGTTCTTTGAGATGATACAAATTTATATCTGACCATCTGCTGTATTCTCAACAGTATTGAACTAAATTAATTGAAAAATAATGTTTACATTTCTTTTTCAACTACAATAACAAACTACACATTCCACCCAGACTAAATAATGTATGAAACTTAAGAGTAAAATTATTTCATGTTTATTAGGTTTTTTGTAATGGTTCGTTTTAATTATCTCGTATAATATAATATAATAAATACTGAATATGATATAAATTTTGATTATAAAAAATTATTTATAGCTTAAAAACTGTGTCGTGTTTCTGATTATATTATATTTATAAATATTATACGAGTATATATGATAGGAGATATAAAAGTTAAGAATGGAGGTCAAATTTAAAAATAAATTTTTGTGTATATTTATACCGGTGAACATTAAACCAAAGAAGATTAACCATCATTCGTATTTTAGTAACAATACCTAACACCCATCAGATCCACAAACACATCTGGTAGTTTTTATATATACATACATAGGTCCTAAAATAGATTGATGGTTAACCTTTCAAGGTTTAAGACGATCTCTAATATACACCACCACGCCTATCAGTCCTTTCAGTCCTAACTAATTAAAGTAACGCGAATGTTTAATAATATAAATACTGTGTGTTTTATCAATAGTTTAGTTTGTGAAGTTTACCGCGAAGTTGCATATATAACTATTATAAGCAATGACTTCCAGATAATATAACTTTGAAGCACAAAAAGTGTATATTTGTATGTATTTATGTGGCAAAGTACAAAGATTTTAATGTTTTACTATTTTTTTTTTTACTTTCAAATGTTATCTACACCGACAATTAAATCAGCCACTAGATTCCATAGCCTACATATGTAGTTCAGCGTATCAGAGTTCTCTGTATAACATCTTGATCCATCATACATCATACATACATGCATTTGTATGTGGGTAGTTATTTGTTTCTCAACGCTTTGTATTCCTGGATGGGCTGGGCGAATTACGTGTCGGACTACGATTATGTCGCACTGGGCTACTTGCTGTATTTATAGTTTGATTTGTTGGTTTCGCTGTAGAATTCGTAATTTTCAATATTGATTGAGGTACATGCACTTTTCTTGCCGGACTAAGTATTTTCTTAGAATTCAAACCATTCCACGGCTGTGGCTTTAGGTTTAGTTTGGGTTTCAACAAAGGTTCACTGCGCATAATCGGTTTCGGCGATAACCTTTTAGAGTAGTTATCCAATTTGTGTCCTAAATCATTCATATATTCCCTCAGCGCTTGTATCTCTAAGGCCATGGCTTGACGATCACGATCCATTCGTTCATTTTCCAAAAGCATTTCTTCGAGGATTCTTTTCTGTTTTTGTACCTCGAGCAGTCGCCTATGACTAACGGGATCATTGTAATCCTGGTAATTATGTATTGCACGACGCATACGCTGTTGTTGCTTTTGTGCGCGTGCCGCTTTTATTTGTGGTATGGAAGTCGCTTTTAATTGTATAGTTGGTTTTGTACTATTGACCTTTGGATCTGCTTTAGTTTCTACCATCTCTAATTTAACGTTTAAAGGATTTTGTGGTGAAGTTTCTGCCGGCGTCTCGTTAGTTGATTTTTCTTCAATGATTGCGGGTTTTTCAACTCTTCGAACTTTTCGATCTAAAAAAATACGCATATAAGTACAATATGTAAGTTCCACAGACGGTTCATACACACCGTAAATATGTATATGTATAACTTACGTACTTCTCAATTTATGATGTACAGATGCTACAATGCTATTGAAAGATGTGCTTATTTCGGCTTTAAGCGGTCTCTCCTCGAGGACTTTGCGCTTTCCCGTTAAAATATTGGGACTAAAGTATGTTTCGACGGGCAAAGTGACCTCTTTTAGCTGTCGATCAACCATGTTTGGTAAATTTAAACGATTCATATTGAGTTCAGATGTCATTGTACCTTGTTTTTATATTTTTATTAACTTTAAAAGTAGAAGCAATTTATTTAAATAAGCCAAATTTAGTCTTTACTTAAAATTTTGAAGAATTAACAAGAAATTTTAGAGAATCAAAGATAGCTAATTTTATTTTTATATTTTAACGAATGAAATTTATTTGAAAATTAAATCATGGTGTTTGTTTTTTTACTATGTTCTTTCAATTCAATCAAATGTAGAGATTGAAAAACAGCATATTCTAATATTTATGTTAACTATTGTGATTTCGTTGGTTTAACATATATTTCAATAGTCAATACAATTTCGAATACTTTCGCAAACGTGTGGACCTTTAGCAAAACTATACTGCTACAAAAAATTATTTCCATTAAATTGGGTGGAGATATTACGAAATAAAACCTGGCACCATGGTCGAAAACAGTACCTACATACATACCCCTAGTTCTAATAGACCGAATATGAGGAACGAATTACTTGTTGTTGACTTTACATCTTATTTTTGGTTAATATCGAGGGCCTGTTGTTGAAATTGGTGTGGTGCCAAAACTTAGTGAACCGACTCGACCTTTAAACATAACCATTTCCGCCCCAGGCATTGCCTTTATGCCTTATCTATCGATTGGAGTTTACGATATTCTGGCCTGCTATCAACAGGTATGGATAAAACGATATTCGATAACGACGCAGTTCTGCCATATGCCATATAAACAATATAATGACTCAGCAAATCAAACCAAAACCTCAAAGCATTGAAAGAATTAGCGCGCAAAATAACACATACATACCACGCAACTCATAGGGCCTTTGTGTAAGAAGGATATGAACGAATACACGTACATAAGAGTTTTGGTTAGAATTGTCAATTGGAACTTAAGAAATTCATGGTGAACAGAAATCTCTGGTAGCGCTAGGCGCAGCGAAATATTGCCCTTTTAAGTTTGGTCACATTGTTAGTCTGCCACAAATACAACCCTGAGTTTTGCACTGTGGCAAATTAGACAAAAAAATACAAAGCTAGCGAGAAGAATGGAGAAAACTGTCAAAAATTTACAAGCGTGCGGTTATGAGAGAGCGTCTAATTTCAATTCATTTTTAATATTTCTTATTTAAAAACTATTTTTTATAATCGTTGTTAATAAGAAAACTAAGAAGAAGTGCATATTTCAACACAAAATAAAATGGGATCGTCTAAAAAGCATAAGAAACACAAATCCGAGCGCAGGGAAAAATATGAAGGTTTTTATTGTTTGATAGAAATTTAAAACAACGTTGTTTACAATGCATTTTTTTAGAATACAGCAATAGCATGGATCCTAATCAACTCCAACGAGGTTTGAAATTAATTCTAAAAGTTGGCTCCAATTCCACACCCGAATACAGTGGTGATTCTCCGCTTGCCGGTCCACCAACTGCAGTAGAGGCAATGATGTCTGCAGCGCCAAGTAGCCCCATGGCTCAAGATGAGCAACATGATGAATACCATGGGGAAAAACACAAAAAGTCAAAGAAGAAGAAGAAAAAGAAGGACCGAGAAAAAAAACATAAACATCACAAAGAAAAACGACACCGCAGCGAGCGACATGAACAAAATAGTGGTGCCGACTACCGAGATGTTACTGCTGAGCTTCCGAATGAAGAGTGTAAAATGGATGAGGAGGTTCAAACGACAGCTGCTACAGTACCTGTTGCACAACGTAGCCCTAGAAATACGCTGCCACCAATTGTGGATGGCGATTCCAGCCAAGATGGTTTCAGTTTTATAGAAGATGGAGATTCGCAACCATTACCAGAAAATATACTCTTATATGCGGGTATTACAACTGATAATTCACCATCTTGTCGACCCGTGTCAAAACCCATAGTGCCACGTAAATCCGATGATACTTTAATGGACTCGCCTGCATCCTCTTCTATGCAATCTTCTTCATTTGGCGCAGCGGTAATTGGAGGGATCAGTCCTACAAAACCTTTACAGGACGTAAGTTTAGAGGAATGGTTGAAAGTTTTGCAGGAAAATTTTTAATTTTATATTTGTGTAGCTATTGATTCCGTCACCATCAGCATCGACGGCAGCATCAACTCCCGGTGGAACCAGTTCTTTTGCTGCGCTTACACCAAAACCGTTAGAGGCACCAAAAACTCCAAGCTCATCAAGTGAATCAGGTCGAGAACCGCGTACTTGTGTACTTAAACTAAAACAACAAAAGTCGCCTTTGAATAAGTTATTAGATCATTTATTACGTTTTCTTGAAAAACGGGATCCTCACCAGTTTTTTGCATGGCCTGTTACTGATGACATAGCTCCTGGTTATTCTTCAATAATTACTAAACCGATGGATTTTTCCACTATACGCCAAAAAATGGACGATAGCGAGTATAGCACCTTAACCGAATTCACTGATGATTTCAAGTTGATGTGCGAGAACGCCATCCGATATAACCATGTTGATACCGTTTATAATAAGGCCGCAAAACGGCTACTACAAGTAGGCACGAAACATCTTATGCCTGAAAATTTAATACGGAGTCTGAAACCTTTATCAGGTTACTTGCGTGACCTCACTGCTAGGGAACTAGGTTTCGATTTACATGGAGATTTTGGTAGTTATGATCACCATGCTATTGACTCGGCAGATGAGGGTGCCTCCACGGGAGCCGACGAACCAACTCCTGCACAATTAGAAGAGGATGAAAAACGGCGAGCACTTCGTCTGGAGAATGAACCAAAAACTCGCTTTGAACCGTATGTAGATGATCTAACTTCCGAGGAGATACTGGCACAGGTACAAGGAGCGGCACTAGCTGCCAAAAAAAGACTATCAGCAAAAGAAAAAGCCCATAGAATGGGTTTCCTGCGGCAGAATAGGGATGGAACAACTTCGCTAAATTTGCTTATTAAAGATGAAAACGAGGGACCAGAAAAGGTGGTCACCCTCGGTGAATTAGTAGGCAAATTGCAATCCGGCTCCGGACAATTGTTTTCTTCGCGAGAAGACAAACGGAATGATGCGAAAATGGTGAAACCACTCAATTACGGTGCTTTTGCTTCATTTGCACCAAGCTTTGATTCACGTTTTTCAAATCTAAGCCGGGAAGAAACGCAATTGGTAATGCGAACTTATGGTAAGCTGCAGTATTAATGAAGTATGTTTAGTTCTCTCAATAAAATTTTGTTCTCGTTTAGGTGATGCTACAAGCACAGAGTATGCTGAAAGCATATTGGAATTCACCAAAAATTCTAATTACGCATTAACTCTGGCTAATGGCCTATTGGATATGCTTACTAACGGTGAGCACAGCAAAGCAATGTCAGATCTTTATGACATGCAAGTACAAAATCACGAACAGAATGAAGTATTCAAGTGTTTTAGTGCATGCGGTGGATTTGGTGGTCTTCAAACTGTAAATACGGTATCTGAGACGCGAGAACAAATCGAAGAAGAATATGAAAAGTACAAAAACACACGCATTGATTTCAATCGCTTACGTACGCTAAAAGATCTGGGCATAGATATCGATTTTTTGGATAACATCGAATCTGAAATGAAAAATTTCGAACTGACTCGTCGTCTACAGGAGCATTTGAGCAATAATCTAAACTTAATCGAAAAATTGCGTGCCACTCAACATGAGCGATTATCCCAACCATTGCCTCAACATTTGGCATTTGTGCCACAAGCTGCTGCTGAGGAAGTACATCTGGCACACCAAATCACACAGCAACTCAGTGATGTTGCTAAGAAATTACCACCATCGGCTGTAGTAGATCCATATAGTCTTCGTAAAGCGATGGGGATGTCAAATGGTGAGCCTAGCTTAAATGTCTTGCTTCTTTTACAAAGTTTTCAATAGAAATTAAATTTGTTTACTTTTATGCAGTTGGTCTACCACCACCTCCTCAATCTGCCAGTCAACGTGTAACATTACCAGAAGTCCTTCAACAACCAGTATCAATACCCCAAATACAACTAGATTCACAAAATTCCACAATTGGAATCTCAAATGAGGATGTGTCCAATGTTTCCGGCACCGGTATGCGTATGGAAATAGATGATGAGGAATTACGCGAAATTTTAGAGAGCGGTAACAGCGATTTAAATGCACCTGCCAGTGCTGATGAAAATCCTTGGTTATAGAGAGCGATTAAGATTTATTTAACCATAGTTTTGTTACCCACATTACATTTACTCATAAATATTTTTATAATTGTTTCTGCCAACATAGAATAAAGGCAAACGCTTCTCAGTATATAAATTAAAAACACAACTTTATTAATTTATCAATATAATTTCGGACTACTCAAAATAGGCTGAAGATTATTTTAGGTGTATATTTATTTGAAGTAAATCGACAAAGCAAGGTTAATATAATGTATCGATTCGGGTCTATGTCTATCGAGTAGATGTGAATGACATTTGTCATCTCTACTTGTGAGCACGTTTTGTTTTCACGAGTGTCTATTGGCGGTTTTAGATTGGTTTGAAAGATTTTAATTTACAATAAAGTTTACGAGATAAAATAGAAACTTGCAGGAAAGGCGACAAAAAGCAATATGGATAAAGAATCCATCGACTCCAACAGGTGTATTAGTAGCGAAGATACAAATGATGTCCATATTGATAGCTCTGTGCTACATGTGTCAACGGACTCGATTAAAAGCACTGGTAACTTTTATTTGTTTTTATGTATATATTTATTTAGAAAAAACACTAATATTTTTAAAATATCAGGTATAAATGAAGTCGTTGGTAATGATTTGAATGACATTCAAGAAATAGTATCTGATACATCACAAAAATGTGAAAAACAGCAACCGCTTGCAGATTGTAACTCATATTCGGAAGAAAATGTGGAACTAGTTACATATACTGCGGACGCAACTACTGATTTGGAAGCTATCTGTGATAATACAATCGCAGTAGCGGAATGCCATGTAACAGAAAATGTGCCAGCTATATTGAGCAAAGCTATTGAAGGACGAGAAACAACAAATGATGGACAAATTTCAAATAACGTTGCTAGCAGTAATAATGTAGTTATTGAGTCTATTATAGAACTTACGCCGGCCACGACGGGAATATGCCATACAACTCTGCAGACTGAGGCTAGCAAAAATGTACCACCTGACTTAAACATAGTAGAAATTATGGACATTACAGATAAAGAAATGAATGACGTTCAGTTGATTGAAAAGCAAATAACAAACCCATCATGTGATGGAGTTTCAAAAACTGGTAATACGAATATTATATCTGAACACATTGTTCTTTCCATTTTAAGTGTCTAATAACATTAATTCGGTATAAAAATTGCTAATTTACAGCAGCTCCCACTGGCCTGGGTTTGCTATCACAGTACGAATCTGATACTGACGAAGATGATTCAAACGAATCTGAAACGGCGTCAGTAATTGAAGTGCCTACTGCCGTGAATAAGAACTATCGCTCACAAGTCGTGGAAATTGATTCAGACTCCACTGAAACTATTTCGTCAGATTCTGAGTCCGAAACGGAGTCCGAATATTTAACAAAAATTGCTAAAGTAATTGAGAAACGGATTCAAAGTAATGATGATGATAACGAAGACGACGATGATGATGATGAAGAAGGCGACCCGAAAAAACGAGGTCGGCGACAACCTCCCCGCGTTCGAGGAGAAATGTTACTTGATGACTTGCCGCCTATACAAGATCTTCAGATTTCAGTGCCAGCCGAGGAATGTATAGAGCTTGGTCGTGTACATTCCATTGTAGATCAATTATTGTTGGTGAGCGCTCTACCAAATTCGATTTTGTTAGATTTGGACACAGTCCTTTTCTTGGAAAAAGGAAAACGCGTACTCGGTGAAGTGTTCGATGTTTTGGGTCAAGTGGCAGATCCACTATATTGTGTACGTTTTAATACGAACCAACATATTCAGGCGAAGGGCATAAATGTAGGTGATGTGGTTTACGTGGCACCGAAAACCGAATATACTCAATATGTTATTCTTTCGAGCCTTATGAAAATGCGTGGATCTGACGCTTCCTGGGAGAATGATATAGAGCCACCTCCACGATATTTGGAATACTCGGATGATGAAGAAGAACGTGAAGCTCGCCACAAGCTTCGAAAACATCGTCGACAGAGCATTAAAGAGGAGGAAGAAGAAGAAGAAGTAGATGATAATGATCCCATGAAGCGAAGTCGAATAAATGTTGCTGCTGAAAACAGCACAGATTCACGGCATAGACATGCTCGCGCTGGTGTAGGTAAGCGTAGAGACAATAAAAGGCCAGAAAGGTTTGGGCAGCATGGTGCATACTCACCGCGTACCTATCAACCTCAACATAACCCCAATAGTTGGCACTCACATTACAATCAACAATATCAACCAAGACCATCTGTACATAGTTATCGTTCACCATACGCCGGTCCATTTCAGCAACAACGTCCAGTATATCGAAATGCTGCACCCAGACCAAATCACTTCAATCACTATGTACATCCTCAAATGCAAATGCAAATGCAAGCTCCTCCTGCACATGCCTTTCCACCTCCACCATTACAAATGACACCACCGCCTCCAATACACGCAATGACACCTCCACTTCAAATGCACCCAATGCCCCAACCCTCCACCGCATACGTGCCAAATCCCTTTGCTTTTCGCTCATCAACATTATCCCCACAATTCGCACAGCCTCAGCCTACAACTTCAAGTCAACCACCAGCAGAACCAGCTCCACCAGGCGCCGAATAAGAGTAAATCCACTGATAGAATAACTAATATATAGATAAGATAATTAATATTTGTATATATATCTAGTAATTAATCAACAACGATATATAAAACTGAAATTTTTTAATATTCATTTTATTTGTATTTATATATTGTGGTAAAAATATTAAAATATTCTTAAGCTAATTTTGTGTAGGTACATAATTGAAGTGGGCGAAATCTGGATTATTTGTTTATTATTTACTTTGATTGAAAACACAAAACAATTTACTACGAACACTATTAAAACAAATATTGATTTAGTAAACAGAAAACTTCAATAAACAACAAACATTTAGCCATTGTAATAAGCGATAAAATGTGCACTTAACACACAGACATACAAGTACGATTAGGTAGTAAGTAATCTAATCTGTTAACAATAACGTTTAAATAATATTTGAAACTTTTCAAAATTCTGTTTTTTTATATGTATGTAATAAGCTAATAATTTAAGTTTGCTTAAATATAAATATATGGTTTATTATTTTGTTTAAACGTGCGTCTGTATTAAAATTACATCGCCGAATTTTTATATATATGTACTTATTTGTGTAAATATAAACTTGTTTTCATAAAAATTTGAACTTTTCTCGAACGCATTCGCTAAAATGATCGTCTGTTGAGCACTGAAAACATTGCAAATTCGCACAAGTGTGCTGCAGGCACAAATATTCAACATTGCGATAAGTAGCATTTGAAAGCATATAAAAAGTCTATTTACAAAAAAAAAAGTATGGTAAATGTTCTAAGGGTTAAAGCACTTTTTCGTTTGCAATTGAGGATGCTTTCGTGTAAAAATAAAATCTGCTAAGTGTGGTAACTATTATATATATGTACGTATATAAATCATTACCTTAATATGGTAAAAGTTCCATAAACTATAACAGTATACATATTTGTAAAATTTTGCATTTGCCAAGTCATCCAAAAGGAATTTTGTAGGTCAGAAATACATAGCATAGTTAATATTTAGCATTTTAAAATATTTCGAAGAGTTATTGGAGGTCAAAGAAAGTCATTTAAGAACTTTGCATATTAAGGTAATGATATGTACGTATGCACAAATGTACTCTATATTTTTCAATATACATATATGTATGTATTTGTAGATTCGCTGTAATTGATATCCCTAAAACTTTGCTAGCATCTATACTTGCAGTAATTTGTTGTTTTAATACTTTAATATTTTTTGAAATTTTGAACAATATCGAGTCGATTTTTTAAAAAGATAATAACAACAGTAATATTGTCTTGCGAGTCTCCATCTTTTGCTAATTCTATAAGAATTTTTGGAATGTTTTCAATCTTTTGCTCAGTATCGGCCAATAGTTTATAAATAGTATCCACTATTTTATTTTCGGGCACATGATCGAATAATCCGTCCGTACCCAAAACGATAAAATCGTGCGCCGCCGTTAGAGAAACGTCCACAAAATCGGGTTCTGCAATTGCTGGAGCCACTGAATAATCGCCAATGGAGCGAGATACATTTAAAATGCCATTTACACGCCATTGTCCTTGAACATACAGTACAGTACCACCACCCTCTGCCATTTCAATTCGTTTACGTTCATCTGGCGCATCTGGTTTATGTGATTTAACTAATTGTAAACTTACCGTTGGGCTAACAAGTAATGCCTTTGAATCCCCTACCCATGCAACATATAAATGCCCGTAAGACGGTGGAGTCTGTTGCGCTAGAAGTACACAAACGGCCGTCGTTCCACTGGAAATACCTTTTCGAGAGAACATTTTATCCGTCTGTAGAAAAGAATGTTCAAAAGCTTCCCTATACGCTTTAACATCATTCAGATCATTGCCTATGGATCGCACACTTTCAGCTAGAAGGTATGGTATTTGGCTTGCAGCGTAACTTGCTGCCAATGGACCTGAATGACCATCGAAAACACCATAAAAACTGTATGTCGATTTTAGTTTATATAATTCACTAAAGCGTTCCAAACAAGTGTGGCGATCTTCCATTTTGCGTGGTTTATTTTTGATATGACCAGTTGTGTAAGCTACTGGTGACACCTTCGTATTGCAGTTACATTTAGTTCCATCCAGGCACAAATCTCCTGAATCTGCATAATTCGGTATGTTGCCTACTTCAGAATTATCGCTCAAACGTGTTAGCAATTTTTCCAAATTATTTACTATATACTTTTGTAATTTTACCAAATCATAAACCATTTCATTATCTGCTGGCGTATTGGATTCGTTTATGCCTTTCACAGTGAACTCACATTCCTTAGCCTTTGAAAATCCCTGTTCAACTTCTGCAACGACGACTCGTAGAATGGATATTTGAAAATATCGTGGACATCGCTTCAACTGAAGATGATTCCATACAGTCATAATTATTTCAGCGGACACTTCCTGAGAACACACTGGGTATGTTTCGTTGCTGCTGCGCGAAATGCAAGGACGAGTAGCTTCACCAGCATTTGTTGCATTATTTACTCTGTCCCGCACTAACTCACGAAGATAGTTTTTAAATTCACGTAATCGGGTGCATTCAACAGATTGCGACGAGATTGCACCATTAGCAGATTCTTTTTCAGACATTTCTTTACTGAGCTATACACATGGACAAATATGCACCAAATTGTTTAATTAATTGTGTTAAACTTCAGATGTTTTATTTCCATGCACTTACATTAACTTAATATGTTTTTAATTGATATAATTTTTTGTTTTCATTCCAGCATCACAAATATTTGGAGTATTTACGCGCGTACTCAGCTGATTTGTTTCAATGAGCGATAGTTTTTATCGAGCATAACATGATTCGATAAGACACCAAATCGAAACATCCGATTTCTTCGTTTCTAATTTTTTTTTTTGTTTTAATGACCCCCTTTTCAAAATGTTATTATATCCAAAGCCTTTATTTTCTAAAACTTTCAATTTACTAAAAAAAATGTATATGACATAATGTATTTTATGAAAGACGTTTCCTATATCCTTTAAATTACATCATAATTAGTAATACAAAAGAAACAACAACCGCCACATTTTCTTTAAATAAGAAATGTTTTGACAAATCTTATGTTTGTAATCTTAATTTAATATTTTGAATTAAATTTAATTAAAGGTAATAATAATAATGCTCGGCTTTGTGATATAAATATATATAAATAATCACTCATCTAACGTTATATGTAAATTCGCTGAAGGATGCAAACCCAATTCCTTCATTGAAGAACTATCATGCTCTGCCTCAAGCGTTTTTCGAGGGAACGCACAAATCAATTTGTATGTGCCGCCATTTTTTGTAACATGTGCATGCTTTTCTCCAATATATAGTCGAAGCACTTTTAATAGCGTATCCGATGGCCAACGCAACTGTACCACCTCATCATTACCTTCGGCATTGAGTAAACGTAATCTAAGTGCGGTTAGTTCGTTGGTAGCTTTACCAAGCTGAGTTTCATATGATATATTCGTATGTTCGTATGCATTTTTGCTGTCCTCGTCCCCAAATTCTTCCATCGACTCAAATTCACTACTATCATCCGCATCATTATTACCCTCCTCACCATCCTCATTATTAGCAGTATTCTTACTTTTACCTTTGCCATTTATATTGCCATTTTCTCGCATGGAATTACGTATGGCCAAATTAATTTGCTCTTCTTCTGTTAGATCGAGCAGTTTTATGCGTTTCTTTTTTTCTGCACAGCCCTCCACATCCTGTTCATCATCTGACAAAGTTATAGTACGTTTGGAAGTAGATGGACTGTCATCAGCACCGTCATCCATAAATTCCTTGTGCTCGCTTATAAATTCTCGCAATCCACATAGAACATTTGATTCCTTCGGTTCTGGGCACTTCCACATCTCCTCACCAGTGCGTGGATCAACCACACAAACATACGGCAAATTCGCACAATGATAAAATGTAACAAAACGACGACCCTCCGAAGTGTCGGTATCAATCTGCGCATATATTGAATTAATAATTCTATCTTTTAATTAAGTTTGCATAACCATACTCACTTGCCATAATAGAAATCTTCTTTTAATAACCTGCCGCACTTCTTTATTGGACCAAACATCGCGATTCAGTACTTGTGAATTAAAATTTTCATCTTGAACATTTACAAGCAACCATTGGCTAAGCGCCGTCGCGCGAGCACGTGCTGCCTGAAAAGTACCAGCAAATGATATATCGGTTGGTGGACGGAAGAGATCACCCAAACGCGATGATGTGGATGGTTTGGCATCTGTAGGCTGCGTTCTAATAGCTGATGTCACCATAGACGCGGCGCGAGTACTAGCCCAACGTCTACTTGATGCACCATTTGATGATCCTAAGCCAGATGCATCTGCTTGCAATTGTTCCTCCATTAATGCCCCTTCACGTGCGAAATCACGAAAAGGACAGACTTTAACACGCTGGTTCATACGTTGCATTCGCCCCGTAGCAGATAAAGAGGGGCCAGCTAGAAAATTATCATCTTCAGGTCCTATTAATTGTTCACGCTTTGGCGCTATAGGTGCTCGAACATTATCTTCATCGTCAATAACTGGTGCTGGGACGGCTTCAGCAGCTTCAGTTCCTCCTTGCTCGAAATATAAGGCAACAGCTGACTCTACGTCGTTGTTACAGGCACTCAATAAGTGTTTAGCCTCATCTGCATTTGCACCCGTTACTTCAACGACGCGTTCCACCAGCTCCTCATTTGGTGTGGACATTTTACCAAAATTATGTATGCAAGTTCAATGTGAATAACTCGTTTTTATATTGCAATGATATTGGAAAATTTATGAAAACTTTTATTTTAAAACAGCTAGACTTTTTTACTGCATATGCAACAACAAGCGTACAAAAGTATTCTCTTCTCTGTTTATTTCATTTGACATTTGGTTTTTCTCATATTTGAAGCTGTCATTAATGTATCGACGTTAAAGGGTGCTTGCTAGCAAAATTATAAATAAATGTAATAAAGAATTTATTTATAAAAGTTTCCGAATTAATATATATATTTTATTAATTTAATTTTTTATTTACAATTGTTTTTCTATCACTCTGACAATATATAAAAATACGCAACAAGAGTTCGGCAATTGTCTTATGACGTCATAATTATTCAGTACATTCTTTATATGACGTTTCCAAAAAAACACGACTACTCTTTGAACTCATTGTTTGGGATGATATAAGGTTTAACTTTGTATTTTTAATATATATTGGCTTGCAGTTTTGATTGTTTGTCCCATTTATAGCGGCTATCGGAAATTAAAGGTAGTACAAATTGCTTTCCTGTCAGTTCACAATCGTTTATTTTTTTAAATAATATTGATTTTGATCTCATAAGTGATCAAAAAATATTTAATATATGAACGTAAATGATAACATTCAATTCGGAGCGTACGCTCGATATTTCGCCGTGCAATATAATGTAATGCACTCAAGTACTTAAAATGAACGATCTGAAATAATAAACCAATATCAAGGTGTAGGAATATTCCTTCGCTAATACCGTTTTTAAACAGATTACAGTTACTTTGTACTTTTGTATATTTTAGCTTTTTTTATTATTATTATATTTATGCAATACAAAAAAATGTACAATGTTATATTTTATTTTTCGCATTCTACACAAGAATATTTAAATTTATAAAACATGTATGTATATCTAAATTAGTTCACGATGCTAAGTATCAGAAGGCCAACTGCATTATGTTTTTACATAATTAATGTTAATGCTTCTTTCTTTATTAATATGTATTTAATTAGATTTTACTTTTTTACATGTAAATTCATAAATCTATGAAATTTTTTCGACATAACTATATCTTAAAGATATAATTAATTTTTATTGATAATCGAAACATAATTGAAGACAATAAAATAATTACACTATTCACACTTATTTTACATACTTAAAAATAAAAAAAACTCCAATTAACAGACGGTTCAGGTGCAAAAATATAAGTACTCGTAATTGCAATATTAACATTAAACCTTACATAACACAATTAAGTAATAAACAAATGTTTCCGTTATTCATCAATCTCTGCTTGCTTAAATGGTGCAATGTGAGGTAGTTTTAGAAATTGAATTTAGCTACATCAGTTATCACATAGTTTATTTGCTTAAATTTGGCTTAGCTTCCGAACTCCGTACACTTGAATTGCAGAACCAAATAGAAGAAAAGTAATTACAAATAACTTTTATGTAAACAGAAATTAAGTATAGCGTATACGTTGTATGATTGCGCACTTAATACAAGATATGTGACATAATCTCTTCATAATAACTGGCCGTTATTTACTTAGTGAGTACACTTGTTAAGGTATAAATCAGGATATGGTTTAAGCAGTAAAGCAAATATAAAAACTACTTGTACATGCATTTGAAATACAAAAATACATCATGCTTGAAAACTTAGTAGGTGACGGTATTTGTAAGTACTAACATTAAGAAACAACAAAATTTAGATGTCGTATAGTGATGTGAACGTACATATGGATATGCACATCTATGTATTTATATGAATTGTTGGTTTGTTGTATTATTTTTGATTTTATGTTTTACTTTGAGTGTTTGCTTATAATAACGTATTCAATAATGTTAACTTTAACTCGCATAAACTAAACGAAATTCTTCATAATCAACAAGGTAATAACTAAATTATGCATTTACACTAGATTGGCATCCTTTGCCATGCTATAGAATGCTGATTTGGGATTATCTAGTAGTTCCACAGGTGAAGCAAACTCAGTTACTTCGCCCTTGTCTAAAACGATCACCTTATCCGAGTCCATAATAGTATTCAAACGGTGGGCAATTGTTAGCACAGTGCATTCTTTGAATTCCGAACGTATAGTTTTCTAGAATAAATAAAGAAAAAACAAGCGTTTTTTTAATTTTCTAATTACGCGCCTTAACCACATTTTAGCTAGCCTACCTGTATCAAATCATCTGTTTCTAAATCTACAGCGGCTGTAGCTTCATCGAGCACCAAAACTCTCGTCTTGCGCAAAAGAGCACGCGCCAGACACACCAACTGCCGCTGGCCCACTGATAAATTCTCACCACCTTCACTAATCTCGTGATTCAAGCCGGCAGGAAGTGTTTTAACGAATGTTTTTAAATGAGATAATTCCAGCGCTTTCCACAGTTCATCGTCCGATTTCACTTCGAATGGATCCAAATTGATGCGCAGCGTACCTGAGAATAAGACTGGATCTTGTGGTATGATTGTCAATCGCGAGCGTAGCATATGCAGGCCCAATGTAGCTATATCTACACCGTCAATGAAAATGCGTCCAGCGGCTGACTCGATAATTCTAAAAAAAAATACCAAAAGTTATTTGAATATATACATAGTTGCACATTACTTGTGAAAGAAAACTTGAATATGCTATGATTTAGTTCACACCCTTTAAAAACTACCATCATTACCCCCTTCGTTTAACTCACCTGAACAGAGACAGCGTTAAACTGGATTTGCCAGCACCTGTACGACCCACTATACCGACTTTCTCACCACCCCTGATGGTAAAGGTAATGCCACGCAATACCAAATCCAGACCTTCACGGTAACGCACTTTGAAATTCTCAAATACAACCTGACCTTCCATTGGCCAATCGCGTGGCACTTTCGAGTTTTCCAATTCCCATGGTGCCTCCTGTTTTGTTTCACCATACTCTTTAATACGTTCCACAGCCACAATATTTGTCTCAATATCAGATGTCATGCGCACCAACCAATTGAGCGTTTGCGTCACTTGCAAAGCATAACTCACAGATAGACCAACAAGACCAGGATTCGATTGACCACCCAATACGGCAAAGAGTGATGCGAAAAGAATAATTAGATTACCGACCATTTCTAGACGTACAGCCAACCATCTATTTGCGATTAATGACGGATATTTGCAGACCTGATTTTTATCCACGCGGTTGTCCGATTCATCGATAAAGCTATAAAAGTTGTTATAAGTATGTTATACTTGTATGTACATGCGTTTATATAATTTCAAAATTTGTGCATTAATTAATATGTACTTACCGATCTTGTACTGTATAAGCACGTATGGTCGTTACGCCAGTGATCGTTTCGCTGAAATGCGTATAAATTGGCGAACGCGACACCGATTCCAAACGCATCAATTGACGTGAAGAAGCAACATAGAAACGTTGCGCAAAATAATACAGAAAGCCTATGGGTATAATGACTGCCAAGAATATCGGCGTCGACATGCTGATTACCGCAATAGTGGCTAATACCTTTATATTGCGTTAGAAGTAATGCAACATCCATTCGAAGAGAGGATAATAATAAATATGTTAATATGTATTTTGAGAAAAGTCAATGTCTATGTAAAAATGTGTTATACTTGTGAAACATGATGTTAATAATGAACGGAATTTTTTTTTGGTTATAAACTGCAAAATATTTTTGAGGTTAGAAATGCCATTACTTGATTCAAAAACTGGGTGATGAAACAGATACACATTTTCTAATTTGTTTACTTATTCTTATCGCGTTTTTGCAACCAAACAAAAAAAAAATATTAAAAAAAAAGAAGTTTAATTATAAAATAATACATAAATTAAGGGGATGAAGTCGCTATACTATAAATTCGTGTGCAATTTTAGGAATTTTGATACTGATGTAGCAATCTGAGCAAAATTAATTATTTCAATTATAGAGAACCTACTGTATTATATAGTAAGATATATGTATATAATAATACTCTTTCTATTGCAAGCCTAACTTGTGTACTGCGAGCAGATAAAATGTGAGCATTCTTTTTTTCTCCAAATTTTCATGCAGTAACTGTTTTCAAAATATAATACACATTACACAAGATACTTCAGTATTTTATAGTTAAACAATTTTTTTCCAACCTACTAACGCATATGTTCCTCTAATGCCTAAATAATTATAGTAATCGTATGCATAGCTATGCAATTTCAAGTCTAAGGCGTCTCAGCAACACAATAATATTAACGGTTGTTAATAAACAGTAACATTAACGGTTGTTTATAAACAGTAATATTAACGGTTGTTTATAAAAATCGTAAACATACTAATATTATATAAATATATTATTAGCGTTCAAGTAAGTAAACTAACATATTATATATAAACCTGTACAATACATAATGTATGTATGTACGTGTAGTTGGTTGATAATATTTGTAATATTTGGATCTTAAATATGGCATAATACGAAACCACGGAAACTATACGAACGCATTTAGTATTTACAAGTATATGCATACCTGAAAACCGCACCAAAGGCAATCATCAATTAATTGTGGCAGTTTTGTATCAAGGACATCAACATCTTTTGAAAATCTGGACAATATGCGACCCGCGGGTGTTGTATCGAAAAAGTTCAGTTCTACTCGTAGCATATTTTTTAATAGCAGCAAATGGATCACAGTTGCTGCTCTCAAAGCACCCAAGTATGGGGCACAAGTCATTAAATATGACACTAAAGCTGCAAACGAGTTACAGGAAGTGTAGTTTTTTGTTTTGTTTTTTTGTTTTGTTTGTAAGATATACATTTAAATGTATGTATGTATTTACTGTAACCAATATCTAAATACTACATTCATATACTAATAATGTTTCAAATACTGTGATTTTATCGAAAAATAAAACGTTAAAACTTTCACGCAACTTTAATCACTTTGAGATGTTTTACAAATATATATTATTTGCTATAGGCCAATTGTTAACTGATATAGGTATTGTTCGTTTTTGATTTGAAGTGATAGTGATAGTGGGAAAATTTAGCTCAAATTGCTACAAGTTGCTGCCAATACTTAAAGATTTTTGGGAAACTTTGTTCAAGATAATTTCATTTGAGATATACTTATGTTAGGCACATGTGATGTTTTAACGTAGGTTGTTTAAAAATCTATAGAACACACATACATATGCACGAGTATATTATTTATGCTATTAACATTATATGAATGGTAATTAGTTGTAACGCCACAATGCTTGTATTTCGTTGGTTTTTTTTTATATCGCACACACATTTGTACGTTTTTACATCGTCTTCAGTGAATCGAGGTAATCAACATACCCTATACCTATAAAGGTGATCCAAAAAGAGGTACTTTTTTCAATAGCCTTTTTTTGACAGAACACGCGTGAGTTGTGTTAAGCTGTCATGCTATTTTTCTTCAGTATTATTTGGCATTTTGTCATGGAAAGACTTTCGTCTGAATAACGCTTACAAATCGTTCAACTTTATTACGAAAATTCACGTTCTGTAAAGAATGTGTTTTGCGCGTTTTGCTCAACTTATGGTCAACATCAGCCTACTGAGCGTACTATTCGCAGCACCATCACCCCTCTTGAGACCCAGCATTCATTATTGGATAATAGTCTACCGAATAGACCACGTCCAGCACGGTAAGGAGTCGATTCGTCGCCGTTTGCAGCAACGCGGACTGACGTATGGAACGACTTGGCGCATTTTACGTCAAAATCTTAAATTGAAAGCGTACATAATACACCTTGTGCAAGAACTGAAGCCGCTCGACTTTCCCAAGCGACATCGCTTCGCTCTATGGGCTCTTGAAAAGTTCCAAGAGAATCCGACGTTTTCGAGCCAAATTTTGTTCAGCGATGAGGCTGCCATTTCATCCAGAAATAACAACGGTTTGATGAGGTATCTGGGCCGGTGGAATCATCGGTTCACATTTCTTCAAAAATGATGCCGGTGAGAACGTAACCGTCAATGGCTACCGTTATCGCGTCATAATAACCGAATATTTGATGCCTGAAATTGAATCTCGTGATCTCGGCGACATTTGGTTTCAACAAGACGGCGCAATGCTCAAACAAGTCATCGAAAATTGGACTCAACGGATGGACTATCTGAGACATAGCTGCGGACAACATTAGAAAGAGATAATGTTCAAAAAATAAATGCCAAAAAATATTCTTTCGAACGATAATAAACATTCATCATTAAATTTAAATTTTCTGTGCTTTTTTCTTTAAAAAAGTAGGGAACCTCGAAATGGATCACCCTATAATTGAGTGAGGATTGTTTTAAACTTTACGCTAATAATACTTGTACGTTCATAACGAATATGTCTTTCAACAAACAATCACGTATGAGTAACATGGGTATTGCGGAAAAAAATGTTTTGAAAATTTATACTTTTTGTTTTTCGAAGCCAAAAATGCACCGAATTCAATATTGATTGCAGCGCCAAGATGAGTTAAAAATTTTTGACTACATATGCAGTACATATTGACATGTACATAGGTATATGCATCGATGAAGGTAAACAAAAACAAAAACCGTTATATAATTTTGCCGTATTAGGTGCATATTTAACTGTCCATTTAGTAGATATTGGAAACAACGCCAGAACATGCCAATTCGTAAGTAGATGAACAGTATTAATTAGTAAATTAAACACAGAGGATTTCGTAGTTTACGTAGTGAGTTAATTGCAGCCAAAAATATTTATACACTGGTTAGGCACGAACATATAATTTTATATCATTCGCTTTTTAATATACACTAAATGCTTAAATGCACAAAATGCGCACAGATCGCACACAACCCACTCATAAAGAACTTAAATGTTAAGCTAGTAAATGCCAGCAAAAAGCATTAATGGGAGGGACCTTATTATGTAGATTACTAATATGGGTGGTATGTACAACAAAGGGGATAGTAATAAGCAATTTGGTACTTTTAACAGCTTGGTCTCTAAGCTAATAACGGTCTTACGATAACATAACAATAACTTATCTGTATTTTACTGTTTATAATTAAATTTTTTAATACTTCCAATTTTTTTTTTCAAATATACTTATATATGGTATACATATATAAATTCAAAGAAAGAAAGCAATTTGTGATAAATATTAGTATTAATTATATTTTATACCTACCTACTCTAGTAGATATATTGTTATTCTACTTATCATTAACTACTTGTAATTGTGTTTGCTCAATACTCATGAAAACTTAATGAAGTTATAAAAACATATTTTGATAAAGGTTTAGCAGAGATTGACAAATAATTCAAATTTGAAGAGGTAGTAGAAAAAATAAATAAATAAATAAATAAAATACTAGACCACAATTAAAAAAGTTGAGAAAAAATCTTTCATATTTTATACAAATATTTCTAACGAAATGCAAACAAAAATAAATCACAAAAAGTCTTAATGCCACTCAATTAAAAACAAAAGAAAGAGAATTATACAGGCTGAAAAGAAAAACGCATGACTGACATTGCTGTAAATGCATTATTTATGCATAGAAAATTACTAAATGTTTGAAGTATTTAATTAGTTTTACTTTTACATAGTACATATAGTATGTATTGTATATATGTACCATGTATGTAAAGAAGAAAATAATAAAATCAAGTGCACATAAAGAAAACTGTTATATTTATGTTTTCACACAAGATAATCAAGTGCATGTACCTGAAACATAGTCGACATAAAGATTCGAGTATTAAGCGGCATTATTGTGTCTAATGTTTGCACATCGCTAGTGCAGCGATCTAAAATACGCCCAGTGGGCGTTATATCGAAAAATTCGGTTGGCAAATGCAAGAGGTTACTATAAAGTTCGTGGGATATTCGTAAAGATGCGTGAATTGTGGCCACAGCAATAGCTAAAGATGCGCCGTAACTGCAAAGAGCTATACGGATGAGATATGTGTTAAATTTAAAAACGATATAAAACTCCACTATACTTGTAGTGCAAACTCGCTAACTAAATAAGTAAATGCTGGGCTGGGGCGGTTTGTTTGTTTTTTTGGCTTAAGAAAAACAAAAAACAAAAATTTTAAATATTTCAGATATAGCTATGGAAACTTTATGAGATGGCAAATGAATGTTCAAAAAAAAATGAATTGAGTGAAATAAAAATGAATAAAATTTTGTGCAATTACAAACCATAAATTATACAGCTGCAATTATGTTTTGCAAGTCTGCAGGAAGAAATTAAAAATGTACTAAAACAAAATAGATACCATAAAAACTATTGTAAAGAAACTATCCAGTGTGCCGGGTAATTCTTCATCGATTATTTCCATATCACCGCTGAAATGATTCAATAGACGTCCTATTGGCGTGATATCGAAGAAATTGCAAACCGGTGCGCGCATTATAAATTTAAGCAAATCATTGTGTAGGTCCTCGGCTGCCTTGAGTGTGCCAGAGTACAGCAGGACGACGGCGAAATAAGCGAACAAGCCTATGTTTCAACAGGCGTAGTTGCCAGCGTATACACCAATAATATGTTCAGGAGTGGGGTGTGTGGTGGAGGAAAATAAATACAGTAAAATTATATTTAACTGAAATTTTCAGAAAAAGGGTAAAGTGTCTTTGCGCTGCCATTCGTTATAACCAGATTGTGGAGTAGTATGAACCAAAGATATCATGGCCATATGAGAATTGTTTATGAGATGGGTAGCAGACTCTCAAGAAATTTGAAATTCCACGCGTTGTTGGATGCATATGAACATTTTTTACTTATTCAAATAATATAATGGCGATTATAAAAAGTTCTGTGGGAAACGAAGATATGGTGGTGTAAAAGAAGACATGCCATACCTACAAATCAGTTGAAACGCTTGTGAGAGCTGTTGTTGTTTAATAAAAGTAATATGTACGGTTATCCGCAACCAAAATTTCTGCCATGAGTGTAATAATATTTCGGAAATATTTCATAACCTACAAAATTGCGAAAAGGTTTGTTTTTAGTATTGATTTGAAAAAAGCAAAGAAAGCAAAAGAAAAGTAAGAGAAACAGGAGATTTGAATTGAAATGTAATGGAGGGCAAGCTAGAAAAATATGTATATTACTGTATAGTAGTGCAAAAAATTTATGTAAATACAATTTTTTTAAAAATTACCTAATTGTTATTATAATATGAACTAAGAAAATTAGTAGTAAAAATAAAATTATTATTAAAGCAATAATTTTTAAAAATGTTAATAAATGTAATAATAATAGTAATGTAAAAATACATAAAATTAAAGAAATTTAGGTATATATAATGTATAATAATTATAATTAATTTATACGCGTTAGTTGAAAAATAAGTAGTGCTCACCAAGGCTACAACTGGCACAACTAGCTCTAAATTTATTTTTCTCAAGTTGGTACATCTATCGTAAAAGCACATGCAAAGTTACAAGTCATTCTGTCAATTATTTCATTGTTTACAAGTCATTTGAAGTTGATGTGTTAGAGTATTTTTTTGAAATGGAAAAAATTGATTATCGCGCAGTGATTAAATTCTTTGCTTTGATAGGTTTAAAGGTAAATTTGTGAACTATTGTTAGAAGTGTATAAGAAGTGCTCACTTTCAAAACGCACCGTTGAATTTTAGGCTGGTGAATTTAAACGTGGTCGTACTAGGCTTGAAGACGATCCACGCGAAGGACGACCAAAAATCGCAACCCACCAGAAATCATTGAGCAAGTTCATAATATTGTTAGTGAAGATTCAAGTTTAACTAAGCGTGAAATTGTTAATGCCATAGGCATCTTAGACGAACGAGTACTTCATATTTTACATGAAGAATTATATATGAAAAAGCTGTTTGGAAAGTTAGTGCCATTTTTCATCAAGACAATGCACCTGCTTACAGAGGTGTTTTAACATTGACAAAATTCAGCGAATTGAAGTACAAATTGCTTGAGCATCCACCGTATTCACCAGATTTGGCTCCCAGCGACTACTACCTCTTCAGAAACCTGAAACGATTCCTTATTCGTGGAAAGCATTTTTCGTCGAATGAAGTAGCTATTACAGCCGTAGACGGGTACTTTGCAGAGCTTCCGGAAAATCATTAAAGGGATGGCATAAAATTATTGGAGGATTATTGGAGTAAGTGTATTGAAGTTAAGGGAGATTATTTTGAATAAAAAAAATATATTTCGTACAAAAAAGAGTATTTTTTTATTTCGAGCGCAGAAACTTTTCAACCAACCTGTATATATTTAAGGCTAATGATTTAAAATGGAAGGGTTACCAGAAAAAAAAATTATGATAAAGCCATTATATAGAGGAAAAAGATACAATGCGACAAATTGTTCAAAAGTGATTTTTAGTATATAGCCTTTCAATACTCTATTACTAACGCATAAACTACGATAATGAATTAAGTATTATAAATGTAGTAAAATAAAGTATTTATAAATGAACTACATCGTAAATACTAATAAATATAAAAAAATGGTTTTCTTAGCACTACGTTAAAATGTAGAAGCAACATGCAAAGAAAGCTTCAAAATTAAAAAAAAAAATACTTACATACTAAAGTTACAAATTTCTAAACTCAAAAAGCAACTTGCAGCTACTGATGGAGTTGTGCGTTTTTATGGGATTTAAATCAAGTAATGGCGATATATATATGTAGACTAACTTTTATAGGAGAGACTGCAAAGCGAAAAAAATATTTCAGCCAAATTGCATGCAGTTTCCCATAAGAAAATCTGTCTGAGAAGTTTTATTATTTAAAAAAAAAAAAACAAAGATCACATGAACATTAAAATGCGCGCAGTTAGTAAATGTAACCGTCCAGACATGATTTTTATTTACAGTTTATACGTTGTCATGTTTAGCCCCCATGCCGCCATACCAGTTCATGATAGTAATGTAATACATATATGGTTCCGACGCAGTTTTGACTTTTTTTTTGTTAAATTGCATGCAATAATTTAAATTTTTTATAGCAATACCGATACCAATTATAATGAATGGGTTACTGGTAGGCGGTAGTTAATTTTCAGAAGCCTTGTAAAATTATTTCTACGAAAAAATAGTAGTGTAACACATATACATAAGTATGTATGTATACATATATTATTTTTTAAATATTTTGTGGTTATATTGGATTATTTTTGTTTTTACCCCAAAGCATGTTGACAGAAATTGTTGCACCACACCCGGCAGGATGGTATCGCACGTATCGATATCTTTCGAGAAGCGGCTGAGTATGCGGCCCAACGGAGTTGTATCGAATAATTCGGTTGGCCAACGCATTACGCCATTAATCAGTGTGACAAATACTTCCATGGAGCAATTTAGGCAACCAAATGCCAAACACAGTCCAGATAAATAGCGGGATATGACTAAGCGAATGTAAATTCAGCGTATTCAGTTTGAAAATATTATTGTTTTGGAATATATTTGTTTTTGTAGCGTTACGAATTTGTTAAAATGGAAAATGGGGAAAATGTAAATTGAAATTCGAAAATGTCAGCAATATTTATAACTATATATTTTTATGTAAATATCGTAAATATACTGAAAGTGTTAGGGCAACAATTGCAAAAAAAAATTAGCATGCAAATTTCAATAAATTATATACAAATGTACATAGCAAAAGTAATGCTAAATTAAAAAAAAAAACTGTTAAATAAATGCGCTTGAAAACAAAAACAGTAAAAAAAACAACGGTTAGCAGCTACATCTCGAGGAATACTCAGTGCATTGCAATAAGGGTATTCATGTTATATTTTTCTACTTGTACATGCATCAGTTGAGCATTATGAAAACTACAAATAAAGTAACGACACAATTTGCACTTCTATTAAAATTGTAAAGTATTTTATAAGCAAAGAGCTTTATGTGGTTTGTGGTTTTGAAAAATATATAGCAGATTATATTTGCTCGTAATACTGTAGGTACACATTTCAGATGAAAATATACATCATAAGCTCCTGCTTAGCGCCAATTATAATTATAATTATTGCATTACAAATATTTCGGAATATTTAAAAAAAATTGCGAGTTGTATCACATATGCATGATTAGGACAAAATATGCAACGTTATGACATATTATGACGTTCGTAAGTAGCAAAGTTTGTAGATCGTATTGTCTAATTGCATCGTTTTTTGTTTGCTGTATTGTATGTGTAATGAGCGTGTATGAGTGCGCGTTGATGCAATGATATCAAATGAAACGGAAAATAATTTATTACCGAGAAAAATTGGCTAATGGCCGCGCGCCATAATTGTGGTAAAGTGAAATCAATTGAATCGATATCTTTTGAGAAACGATTGATAATTCTACCCAAAGGCGTCGTATCAAAAATGTCTATGGGCCAGCGTAAAACACGCGATAGTAGTATATCATGAAGTTCCTTGGCACAATAAATACAGCCAAGTGCCAATGTGACCGAACAGCTAGCTTGAAAAACAACTGCAAGGAGTTTTAGTGTAATTGTTTAGTATTTGTTTCTTCTTATGTAAAACAATTTATATGTATTAGTTAGTTTTAGTTAAACGAAATATTTGATAATATTTGTATCTGGTGCAAAATCACAAACAAAAGTGCTGATCAATGTTTGTGTAAACAAGTGTGATTAGGTATATTATAGTTAAATTATATGTAACTTCAATTAGTTTTTAAAATTTTACACAATAGTATCAAAAATATAACAAGTAATCGAAAGTTTAACTACTACATTACATTACTAACATGTATTTATGTACATATGTGCTACGGGAAATTAAATTTTTTTTTAATATTTCGTATTTTAGTTTAATGATTTTTTACTATGCTTGATAATACTAATTAGCGTATTGAAGGATTAAGGTAGGCAAACCAACACACTTACATAGGTGTTACAAGTTTTACAGTACAACCCTAATTTCTCGGCAAGTATGAGCCAATATGGCGAGTATTGTGTTTAATTTTCTCTTATGCCAATTGAGATGATGAACATTGTATATGCAGATCTTTCTAAACATAAAAAGTTTAATTAAATTATCATGTGAAAACAAATTCTTCGTTGTCGGTGTCAGATTGCAGAAAACAAGTTGAAGTTATCGTACACATTTAGAGGATCAGTGGATTACAACTTAAGCACCAAACAGCTGAAAATATGACTCCGAAACGGAGAAATTTTTATTTAGACAAAGACCATCATCATGGCAGTATTCTCCAGAATTACGAGTATATGTGAATTTTTTATAAATAATGTATTGTTTTGAATTCCAAAATTTTGAATTTTATGTGAATGAGCAATGCAATAAAATTTATTATAGATGAAGTGTAGCGAATAATAAAAAAGCTGTATTTGTGTACGATATGTGTTCAAGGAAAATGGTGATTTTTAATTTTTCGCGGGTTGTGTACATCCGATTATCGATATTTGGTTTTTGTTATAATCGGACACATATGTTTATCATGTGCTTGCATTAGGAGTCAATTTCGATTAGAAGTTTGTTTTTGACAACAGAAAAGGTTAGTCACGTTTTTGTGTGCTTTTCGATTTTTGACTTTTAAAATAAATGGATCAAAGAATATGTATTATATTTAGAGTTCAAAATGGAATAAAGCGATCCAAGGCACTTGAAATGTTGACTGTGGCATTCAGTGATTCCACTTTGTCTCAAAAAAGTGTTTGTAAGTGCTATAAGCGCTTTACAGAAGGCCGAGAAGACAAGCGAAGAAAATATCGAATCAGTAAAAAAAATGGTTCCTGAAAACCGTCGAATCACTATTAGGGTTAAATTTTTTGGAACTTTTTGGGCATAAACGTGTGGCAGTGAAGTTTGTTTCGAAATTGCTAAATTTTGAGCAAAAGCAATGTCGCTTATTCGTGATTTTTTGACCAAAAACAAAACCGTAATCATACCGTATTCACCAGATTTAGCTCCCTGCGACTTTTTCCTACTTCCAAAACTGAAGAAACCAATGAAAGGAAAACATTTTGCCACATTTGTTGAGATCAAGTCAGCATTTCAGAAGTGCATCAAGGATTGGAAAAAGCGTTGACACAAGTGTATTATATGCGAGGAGGATTACTTTGAAGGGGACAAAATCTATATATTTATATTGATGAATAAATAAGTACTTTTAAAAAAAATTCAAAATTCACCTTTTCCTTTGAACACACCTCGTATATATGTATGTATGTGTAAAATTTAATTAAATTTCTTTAAATATGTTCGCGAAGAAATTTTAGGCGAAAATGAAATGAAATATGAATTTTTGAGCGCAAAATTTTTCTATTACAGCTTTGACATTAAACTACATATGTATATGTGCTCAACTTTCCAACAATGTTTTTAGAATTGGTTTGCTGAGCGCACATTGTTTAATTTTGAAAATAAAATCAATTGGTATGAAATTTACCGAAAAAAATTGTGATATGACAACGCGCCAATTTTGTGGTAGAACATTATCAATGGTATCAATATCCTTGGCGAATCGATTCATAATTCTGCCGAGTGGTGTCATGTCAAAAAAATCCATTGGTAAGCGGAAGACGTTTTTTATTAAATGATTGTGAAGTATAATCGATGAATAAATACAACCCAATGATATATTCAATACGGAAATGTAGTTAGAAACCACTATTGAGGTTAGGTGATAATTTGGTAAAATTCATGCACGCATGCGCAATTGGTGTTGTCCATTTTGTATAAAAAAAAAAGAATATCCAATTTATAAAAAAAAAAATAATGTATTTTAGTAGTAAGCATTTAAATGTATAATATTAATTTAGGTTGTTACATTTCAACCTTTGCAACGGACAACAAAAATGAAAACAATTATCGACCGAAATAGAAGCTTTACATTCTAACGGCCATTATGACATCAAGCAGAAAAGCAAATATTATGTATTAATGCGCTAATATAATATATAACGAATTATATAATAATTTATAAATAACGATTAGTTTAAGCTTGTTCATCGACTTTTTGGCAAATGAGCAATTCGAAAAAAAAAAAAAAAACATATGTGTGAAAGGAGATGAGTAGCGCAAATAAATTGCTGTAACTACGAGTTTTTGCTTTTGTAACAAAGAAATGTTTTTGTGTGATACGTAACGTATATATGTATGCATGTATGCTCATAAATCTGGTATGATAAACATACAAATTGATATAAAAAATTTTGCGGAGAAATTCAAATAAATTATATGTATATGAATTGTATATATTAAAATCTGAGTTACATAATATTAATGTGAGACTTAGATAAATTGTAAACAAATAGTGAAATATGCTATATTAAATAACGAACACTGGTTAGTATTTATACACTACATTTCGGCAACAAATGTTTGGTCTAACGAGTACATATAAATAGGTTTTACTATAAATGAGTCCAGTTTAAACTTTTATGTATGCTATGCATGTACCATATGTATATGAATACGAAAGTTAGCCAAATTCAATTTCGCATGTTTTTAAATCAACTTTTTTTTGTATGTGCGCAGTTCGTTAATATTTAGTAACATATTTCACAATATGGGGAAAAACAGAAATTTTGATGAATATGAAATGTGTTAAGGGTACACAAATTTCGACTGTAAACAGTTATGTTTGTTATACTATACACTAAGATAACACTCTGTTTATCAATCTTGCGTTTAATTTGAAACTTCTTGCTATTTATAGTCGAAAGCTATGTTTACATGCTATTAAACTTGAAAAATATAAATTTTTTGTTGCTAAATTATGCATAATTTAGTTACCGAATAAGCCGTCATCATGACGGAGCGCCAATTTTGTGGTAATACATTATCGATTGAATCGATATCTTTCGCGAAGCGATTAACAACTCTTCCCAATGGCGTTGTATCGAATAATTCCATAGGCCACCGCAAAACACTATGCAAAAGATTTGTATGCAATGCCTTCGAGCAATAAAGGCAACCAATGGAAACGGCAAGTGTTGAAAGATAGCTCCCAAGCACTATTTTTGTGTGATTGAAAGAAGTGTTTCATAAAATCAATATAACCGTGTGATTTACGATTAGCCGCTAAACCAAGTACCATATTATTGTGCAAGCTTTGAATATTATGCATTTATGTACATACGTGTATGTATATATGTACGTAGCAGATGAATTTTGCTTGGTATTTACAATTGTGCAAAGAAGCATAGAAGATTCGTGTGAAAATTGAAAATTAAGAAAATTTTGTGCTTTCTATTCATAAAAGTGTTAACCAACGTTAGTAGGGACTAAATACATTTTAAATAAAAATTTGAACAAGGTTTAGGAGTGCTGTACAAATGCAGTTATTATGCCAGAAATGGCAGCAATATTGAAAGAGCGAAGCGTTAGTATTTCAAGGGCTAGCATTTAGTAGAAGTTGAATCAAATAGAAAATACGTAATTAAAATACAAAATAATAAGTAAGATATACTAAATAATGAGACCATTTAGTAATAAGAAAATAAACGTTTTGGACTAGCACAAAAAAAAATACCCTGCTACCTTTCAATTTTATATATACAAAATGAAATAATGCTAATAATAGGCAGTATAGCAAAATAAATGTATTAAATAAGCAGCTTTATGAAACGCCAGGCAGACATACAAATTCAAAAGAAACATAAAAACACTAGACACTTTATACAATTAAATATATACATTTACATTTACTTATGTATGTGTATAGAGTTAGAGAACTTTGTGCTTACCTTGACCAAAACCGAAAGCGCCATAAACGCCCAAATACATATCACGCAACCCCGTGTCGTTTGCTACACGCCTGTCGTTCGACCATTGTGTCAACCACAAATTGGAGCCAATCGAAAATGCTTGATAGACGAAGTTCAAAAACAGAGTAGCAAGTGACAGGAAAACGCCAACACTCTTAATATAATGCTTGTAAACAGCCAGTTGCACCTGTTTTGATGGCGGGAAAAAAATATATATATATATCGTAAATATATGTATCGTAAATTTTTCACAGAAGGATATAAAATACATAAACACAAATACTCACACCACCAGTTTCTGATTTTTCGGTTTCAATTAGTTTACCCTCCTCCACCTCAGTCTGCTTTTGCGACACTGTTGAAATTGCTGAAATTTCCGAGTCTTGACGACCAATTTTGCGACGCCGTAAACTGCCTTTACCGCTCTCCAACGACTTGACAGAACTACATTACGCATATAGGGACAAAAAACAAAAAGATTAATGGCTTTAAATGGCAAGCAATAATATTTAAACTTACACAGAATCTGACAAACTTTCAGTACGTGCTAGGGAAATGACCTTTTCGAGTGTGCCTAAAAGTTCTTCCGATTGGACAGTGCCCTCCAATTGCTGTTTAATCTCATCCAAATCCTCAACTTCTTCAGTAGACTCTTGCAGATGTTGTATAATGAATTCAGCAAAAGCGCCTTTGCGCGCTAACAACTCTTGATAGGTACCACTTTCGCTAATTTCGCCCAATTTCATCACATATATATTGTTTGTTTGCGGCAAGAACGTAATACCATGCGTGACTAATACACGTGTCTTCTTCGCCAACAGACCATTCGGTCCAATCACCTCTTCGAATATATGCTTGCCCACATGTGAGTCAACAGCACTTAATGGATCGTCAAGTAAATATAAGTCGGCATTACTGTACACGGCACGTGCCAAAGAAACACGCTGTTTCTGACCACCAGATAAATTAATACCCTTCTCACCGATTTCGGTTTGATCGCCGGCCGACAACATATCGATATCGGAACGTAAGGCACACGCATCTATAACACGATTATAACGTTTACGATCGTATTCCAGGCCAAATAGAATGTTATCACGTAGTGTGGCATTCTGGATCCAAGCCTGTTGCGGCACATATGCAATAGAGCCTACTGTGTTTACGCGACCCGACAATTTGTCCATCTCACCAAGCAGCGCTTGTATCAGTGAAGATTTGCCGGAACCAACGGTACCAACAACAGCGCACAATGTGCCTTTTTTCACCGTCAAATCGATGTTTTTCAATGTCTGTTCTCCATCACCCCAAGAGAAGGCACCTTTTCTGATGATCATTGGTTCGGCTGAAAGTGATAAAATGTTAATGAAATCAGTAAAGAGTGGAACACAATAAAGTTTTGCATTATATATACCTTCTTTGGGATCATGCTGGACACTGTTTGGATCCAATTCCTCGCTATTCATGAATTTGTTAATACGTTTCACAGAAACTTGAGTCTGTTTTTTGTTTTTGTTTTTTTGAAGTTTAAGAGCGATGTAAAAATATATATTAGTTTATATATTGAGTAAAATTTACATTTACATTTAGTATTTACTTATAGTAATGAACAATAATAACTGGTTAGTAGAAGCGAAAAATAATATACATTTTAAATTTGTTTTAAGTTCAAAAACTATAATATGCCAGTAAACCAAGCTAGATTTGCTACAAGATATTGCAAAACGTTGTACTTAAGCCAAACACAAATGAATTTCGAAAAGCGACCAGACAATTGTTTTTTATTAATTTCTTTGAAGTTGAGGCATTCATATAACATGGGGCCGGTGGGCATTGCCAGCAACGGCAAATTTTTTTAAATTTTGTTCAGAACAATTTAAAATTTTTTAAAAATTATATTTTTTAAAATTAAAAAATATTAAAGTTAGCGCATTAGAAGACAGTTAGGAAGTGGTGTTATAGACTTTAAGCAAAATTTAATTTAAAAATTCATTATATTTACAAATTTCAGCAAGTGCTTGAAACAAAGAATATTTACATATTAATTTACATGTATGTATGTAAATATGCACTTTAAACGAACAACAGAGTAAATACAACAACAACAACAACAACGACAACACATGTAATAACACAATTATAAATCAGGTCGACTTACTTGTACCATGTTGGTTATCAACATGGGCAACATTATTAATGGAAAGCGCAAAATGTTGAATAATGATAATGAAACGAATATTTTAGTTGCATCGAGAACATTGTTTTCATCAATTAAAACATATGTACCGAATGTGACCAATGATACCTAGAAGGGCAGAAATAAAAGATAAGAAAATTCTTTGTTATCATAGTGAAAATGCGAATATGAACTAATGAATATTATGACTAATAGAAGATAGTTAAGAAATGCATGTGTATATGCAATAGAGGTTTTGAATTTTTAATTTGTAATCATTTTCTATGACTACTACCACCAATACTGCATTCAGATGTGTGTAGCAATGTTGTAGAAACTATGTGTTTTCGTGGCACTTAATGTGTGTTGCAATCATTGATAGATAGATATTTGCTCCGTTTTATAGTAGTTAATGAGTGAGTTCATGTTTTTTTTTTTTTTTGTTTGTTTTCTTTTTCTTTTGATGTTCTTTATGAGGTTTTTCTCCACCAATTTGCACAAATTTGATGTTTTACCTCAGCCAGATCGATAAATAACATAGGTAGTGTAGCCAACGGTAGTTTTATCGTGTCGAACAGCGCGATGCTAACGAATACTTTGGATATCGTTAGGTGATGTTCACTACTTGTTAAAACGTATGTGGTAAAAGTCACTAACGAGACCTTTTAAAAGCAAAATTTATTTAGAAATAAAAACATGTACATTTTACTTATTCGTGTTTATCGTAGTACACATACGAATAGTGCTGTAAATAAAAGAAATGTTGGTATAGCGAAAAATTTTATCAGCTTACCAAGAAGGGGGCACATGACCATAGGAACGAGGTACCGGCGTTTAAGTATGCAGCGGCTTTTAGAGTCTCTATTTCCTTTTCACGAATTTGCAACACTTGATTTTCGAAACTTGGCTCCCAAGCATATAATTTAAGCACCTAAAACCGCAATAATTAAGTTTAGTTTTGTAATGCAAACGGATATACATAAAACAAAAATGCTTACTTCGTATAGCTTTTGATAATATGTCACCTTACCTTTATGCCGCTGAGCACTTCGTTCATTAGTTTAACACGTTCATCCTTATACTTCATTTGTCTGATCTGATATACTTTAATGCGATTGGCTATAACACCATTAACAGGAATCAGGATGATCATCACAGCAAGACCGGCCAATACAGAAGGTCCTAATTGGAGCCATAAAAAGTACATGGCTAAGGCAATTTGCAACGGCGCTGACCATATCATATTCAAGTACGTTGTTAAATCCATAAAACGTTGCGCATCTACAGCCATTAAATTGACAATTTCACCCACTGTCGATTGTTTACGTGTGGCATTTGAGATGACCAGAGCTTTGCGGTAGATGGCATTTATAAGTGCAGTACGTATGCGCAAGCCAACGACGAACATGCGATGGAAATATTGCCCCAAAATAAATGTTTGTGCAGCAGCTGTAATAAATAGTAACGCAGAATAGAAAATGCCCTTCCATTCGGGTTGTCTTTCGGAATTTTCGTCGGCATAATCTTCCACAAAACTAATAATTAAACTGAGCACTTGAGGTTGCACAAATGTTAGTAAATCGCAAATTAATTTCATTAATGAACCAAACAAAAATACTCCTCCAAATGATTTGATAATAGGTGGCATTATGGATGTGACCTTTTTCTTTTCGCCTGAACGCCCATGTGGGTTCTCAAATTCCACTTTACCATTACTATACTGCGCCTTCGGTTGTGGTGGAGTGTGGCTCTTATCGTTTTTGTGCACACTTTTATTCCAATAGTACGCGAATATTGGCATGATTTCTCTACAGCTGTCCTGTGGACGCAAATCCCATAGATCTTTCTCTTCCAATGGATTTCGATAACCTTTCCATGCCATACCATCGAACCAAGTGTATGTTACGCGCGACAAGAAACTTGACGAACTTTCCGGAATTTCGTTCTACAAAGAAAAAACGTTTAATATGCATATTCCAGTCATGAACAGTAGCTAAACAAATTACATTCGTCCGTTTGTATTTAGTTTCTCTGGGCATGGCATCGGCAAAACAGTTCAGCAAGAGCATTGCGCATGAAAATGCAAAATAAACTATGTAACTAACATAATTGTATTCATCCCACGAATAGTCCGGTTTGTCTGCTATGTCAGAGTTCAATATTTTATTTCGCTCCCTACTTTCACGCACTTCGGTGCGACATTGAGGAATTGCGAATATCACAAGCAGGAACCAGAAAAGAAATTGCGTACCGGATGTCTGCACACCATATTTCCGATTCAGCGGAATGAAAATGAACAGCAACAACTAAAAACAAATAAGGCATATATTATAAACTATAATAGGAATATAAATATTGTTACTTACAAAAGTGGCGAATTTTATAATAGGACCCCATATATCAATAGGATGGATTAACGAGGCTGTAGCTTCATCACCCTTCTTTACTAATGCGACAACTAAGTCGGTTGCCGAAAGAATAAGCAAAGCACTATTCAAAACTAATTTGCTAATGTTAAGTTTGTTCCATGGGATGTTCTTATCTAAACTTGCTTTCAGATAGTAAAAATCGAATACGGAGAAAATAAACAGAAATGCACATGGGCCCCATACTAGAACAGTCTTCTCAAAGCATTTTGTAAAATCTGGGTCACTGGTCCACCAAGTTTGATTTGCGTTCTATTACGATAGATTAAAATAGTTAAGAAATGAAAATATCGCAATTCGTTGTAACTTACCCAAAATTGTGAGCCGCAGAACTCATCCATAGGATGATTGTCATTATCCGTCATTTTGATCTTCAAAGCAGGATTGAACACTTAATTATTTTTCTTAATAAAATTACGTTTTGTTATAATAACCGGATAAGCATGGAATTTTTATGACAAAATAAGTAATTCGCCAAATTGAACACTGGCCTTCGCACAGCTAGTTAGCTGCTAACCTGAAATTGAAAAATGTAAAACAGCTGTTATACAGAGGTCTTCTTATGAATTATGTTTAGAAATTAAAAACGACAATGCTGATAAACATATCGTAATTTCCAAAATACACAAAAAATTCGATAGTTTGAAAAACAAAACATATTACACGATCCATATACTTCGTTTCTATTAGCAATTAAAGCCGAAGAAATAGAACCGCGTGTATGTTTTCTCTAAATGTAAGCTAAGCATTTGTATCGCCCTGTATTGTAGTCTACAAAATATTTCTACACCACTGAATCAAACGAACAAAACTCATTGCTGTCATCGAATGTCATTCTACAGTGACAGCACTTATTTCATTCTACAATTTGTTTATCAACCTGAGTTTTTATTAGAGTTTTGGGAATTGTTAAGAATATTGTAGTGATTATTAAGAGTAATATCTTCAACATTAGATTTTGTCAATAATGTCTCGTCCAAAAAACTTTTTAGATGCGGATGAAAGTTTACTTGAAAAAAATCTAAAATTTGTCAAAGTAAGTGAAATTGTCACAAATCAAGAGCACCGATTTGATTTATTTCCTCGCCGAAAATTTTGTTTTCAGAATGAAGTTGAAGAAGAACTCAATCATTACTTTTCTGGCACGCAAGATAGTGATAGATTAAATGAATCGCTAGCCCCGCCACGTGAATATAAAATTGTTCAGCCAAAACCAGGTAATTACGAAAATATAATGTATTGATGAGGTTTATGGTATCTTATCAATTGGTATAACCTTATAATTTTTTCAACTACTCACATAATTAATAATTTTTTCGTGTAGAAATTTTCAGTAGGGATATATACAGAAATAGTTACTTTCACATAATTTATATTTACTGTTACTCCACCACAAATGTGTTAATTAAACTAGGCACTTGGCTGCAACTGTCGGCAACCCAATAATAATTGGTGGCGAAAACAATTACGAACGCCTAGTAAGCCGCTGATTGGCACAATGCATTTTAATTAATTGTAATTGAAATTGCGTAGAACATGTACAAATCGTTTTGGTATCAAGAAGGAGAAAAATATACTATCAAGTATTAAACCACGCAAACTATTGATATAGGTATATGTGTAAATATCTAAAATGTTAGATAAAGTAGTTTATGTTTATTTTATATCTCAAATTGTATAATTGCTATGATATCAGACATACTCGTATGCTTTTGGAGTCATCATGTTAAATATCTAAACGTTTTTTATATCCCATATAAAAACATAAAATATTGAAAAATTAACATTAAGCATTTTAGCCTCAGGTATTGTGTGTTATTTAAATGGCACTCAAGTGCGGCTTACTGACAGCAACTAAACAAGTTTCCCAAACAATTCGAAACAAGAAACAAGATTTCTGATTTTTACCCAAAGACAAAAACGTGTTAGTGAGATCTTAAATTGTTTAAAGAAATTAGCATGCATATGTATGTACATCTATTACTTTAAGATCCTGTTATACATAACATTAAAATAAATGTATGTATATATTTGAAACTATCCCCTTATATTATGAAATGAATCGAAGAGCACATGTTAACGAGCTTTTATTTGACATCTTCTTCGAATGTAATTGAGGTGAGCAAAAAAGTGATTGACTTTAAAGTGAAACATTAATTGACATTTAACATCGAGGGACTTCGTATTTCAATTTATTAAATTGTTTAAAGAAATTAGCATGCATATGTATGTACATCTATTACTTTAAGATCCTGTTATACATAACATTAAAATAAATGTATGTATATATTTGAAACTATCCCCTTATATTATGAAATGAATCGAAGAGCACATGTTAACGAGCTTTTATTTGACATCTTCTTCGAATGTAATTGAGGTGAGCAAAAAAGTGATTG